TGCCCACACCCCCCAAAATCCCAAAAGCCAAGCTCATGTCCACATTAAGGTCCTACAACTGGTGCCAGATCAGTAAATAACTAGCCCGCATAAAGATAATAACCGCATAACATATTGCACATCCCACGTATGTTCAACTTAAGGGGAATGCACTGGCCACAAAACCTATTGATCTAATCACATTTGCATTATAAAACAATAAGAAAAAACCCCATCCGAAGGCAACCTAAGGAGCTCACCGCAGGCAGAAAGATAAAGCTCCCCGCAGGACCTATTGATCTACTCACATTTGCATCAACAGCCCCAAAAAGGCTCTACCTGATGGAGCTAGCCACAAAGGCTCATCATCCTGAATGACCTCCCACCAGGACATGGCTATGTTATATCGCCAGCCTCATATAAAATACCACATAGACCATGTGGCTATCCGGAAGCATATACCCTCACTGCGGGCTGGTCCCCAGCCGCCAACGGGGGGTTGTGCCTAAATCCTTGCTGTATTGCTATCTACCCCAACAAACGCACAAGCCGCAGTGGGGAGAGGAGGGGGTGGAGGGAAGAACGCATACCAAATTAATCCAACACAGGGCCCTCAATGCTCATGTTCACGCCGCCCGAACCAAGCCAGGAGACCCAAACAAGCCGAGCCCGTTCAGGCCAAACTGGCAACTTACTTCCCACCCTAGGCCTGTCCCTTCTCTCTCCTCGCTTTATATATATTTTTTTTTTTTAAATAATTATTATCTTTAATATTTCATCACTGCCCTCGCACATGGCAATACATATGATACCATCAATAATGCCACCACAGCCGTATAAAGAAAATGGCGGCCCCGCCATCACCCAGATAGCGGCCGCCCGATAACCAAAATGGCGCCCGCGCCCAAGAGGACTGCCGCTATTCCCGCTTAACGCAATGCCCCGCCCCTAGGCACGACGCCCGTACCGTCCCATAATCGCGCGCCAACTGTTTCGCGCCAAACCAAAACCGCGCGGGCAGCACAGTACGAGCGCGCCCCACGCGTGTTTCCAGTCATGCCCAAAAACCCCCATAACGCCGCAGCCGCCGTAGGCCCAACCACCTCCGTTAAAGCCATCGCGAAGGGCGAAGAGGAGGGGGGGGGTGGGAGACCGCGCCCGAACGAGCACCTCGCCTGAACCAAACGACCTTCCCCAGGCCGCAGCAAGCCCCGCGAAACTCAGGACGCGACGACCGCCGCTGCGCAGGCCCGCGCCACCGCGAGCCCCCGGAAACAGGGCCACCCCAAAGACCCTGCATGCACAGAAAGGGCGAGGGGGAAGGCACCACCGTCTACGTCCCACGCCACCCCCTCCCCGCGCAACCCAGCACGCTCGGCACAAAGAACCCACGGGATTAACCCCCGGTGAGATAAGCCAAGACCATGCAAGGCTGGAGGGGGGGGGGTGCGAGAGAGGGGAGGAGGGAGGAGGGTGGCTGGAGATTAAAAAAGAAGGCCACGAATCCCCCACTAAGGTAAAAACCCTCATAAACGAACAGTAGGTGGGGGGGGGAGGGTGGCGCGCCAACCCCCCCTCTTCTACGCCGCACAGAGACCGACCTCTTGATGCTGCAAAATATCTTCGTCCTCCCAGCCGCAACTCTCCACACAACCCGGTCTTCCGCCCCGGATCCTCGGGCCTCTTTTCTCGCTTCTCCCCGACTCTTCTTTCCAACTATCTCCCAGTCGTCTTTCTTCCTTGACCCACACGCTCTCCGGCACACGTCCGCGTCAACCAGCTTTCGGGCGCCGAATGCGCCAACACGGGTCCAGCCTGCACGCAGGCCACGCCCCCATCCTTCTGGAGGGTTCGACGCGAACCCCGCCCACTCTCGTGGGAGGCAGACAAATGTTTTTTCCTCTCCCCACTGCATGGGGAGAGGAAAACTATTTTTACTGTTTTGCAGTGAGAAGGAAATTGCTAAAATGGTTTGCAGCGTTAAGAACAAAATTTAAAACAAATTACATCCCTAATCATTGTTTGCCATATAACCTCTGGCCAAATTAATCTACTTCTGCAATGCAGAGTCTCTCTCCCAGAAAGGCCACCTTCTTAATCTCAATTAACAAGTATTGTCAGTGTAATTAAACTACAGACTGTTTCCACTAAGTATCTTCATGATAAATTTGTCTCCAGAGAAGGCTGTAATTACAACAGTATCTCAATTAAAAAAAAAAGGGGGGGGGGGGTGAAGAGATGATTTCTTGGACTACTTTGTCGACCTGTGGTGATCCTTGGGGAAAATCTATCACAGGCTTTTATTGGCACAATTTGTTCATAGGCAGTTTGCCATTGCCTTCATCTGAAGCTAAGAGAGTGTGACATGTCCAGGGTCCTCCAGTGGGTTTTCATGTCTGGATGGGGATTTTAATCCTATTCTCCCAGACTCCCAGTCCAACAATCAATCCATTATACAATGCTGGCTCTTGTTTTATTACTTATACTAGCTGTCCCCTGCCACGCGTTGCTGTGGCCCCGTCCCCGTCTGGTGATCTGGAAAATAAAGTAATGAGAAAGTGTTGGTTTCGAATATATGTAATTTACTTATGCTTGTGGGTAAACAGTATTTCTTGTTGTTTCTTTGTCATTGTTGATGTGGTTTGCCAACTCTGGAACATCCAACTTATTGTCATTCTTTAGGGGTTCCTTTCAAATCTATGATACTATATCTGTGTGTGTTTGTGAATAATATGTATCTATCTATATCTATGGCTGGATGGCTTTTTGTCAGGAGGACTTTGATTACGTTTTCTTACCATGGTGAAGGGAATTGGACTTGATGGCCTTAAGGCAGCATTTCTGTTGGTCATGGGAGTTCTCTGTGGGAAGTTTGGCCCAATTCTCTTGTTGGTGTGGTTCAGAATGCTCTTTGATTGTAGGTGAACTATATATCCCAGTAACTACAACTCCCATCTGTCAAGGTCTATTTTCCCCAAACTCCATCTGTATTCATATTTGGACATATGGAATATTCATGCCAGGTTTGGTCCAGATCCATCATTGTTTGAATCCAAAGTGCTCTCTGGATGTTGGTGAACTACAACTCCCAAACTCAAGGTCAATGCCCACCAAACCCTTCTAGTGTTTTCTGTTGGTCATGGGAGTTCTGTTGGTCAAGTTTGGTTCAATCCCATTGTTGGTAGAGCTCAGAATGCTCTTTGATTGTAGGTTAACTAAATTCCAGCAACTACAATTCCCAGATGATGTGATGGTCACTCCTTGGGTTAGTAGGTGTCTTGTGGCCAAATTTGGTGGCAATTCGTCCAGTACAGTAGTTTTTGAGTTATGTTAATCCCACAAGCAAACATTACATTTTTATTTATATAGATTTATGTCCCATCTTTTCTCCAAAGAACTCAAAGTGGCATTTGTGGGTTTGGCATTTTATCCTCACAAACATCTTATCACATTGGCCCCAGGAATCGCCATGGATTGTGGCGAATGTGGTGATGCCCAGAGGGGGGAACATGTCACCCCATGCCCCGCATCACCTGGCTCCCCCTTACCTGATCCTACAGAAGGAAGTGCCTGCCACCAGGCTTCCATCCATTGAGCCCTATGTGACACAGGAAGCTTCCTGTGTTGCTGCTGTGGCAGCAGACGAAGGTTACTCTCCATTTGTGCCATACAACCCCACGGGAATTAGCTGTATACCATTGGATGAGCTCCATGGGTCAAATGGAGAAAAACCAGCATATTCCACCTATTTTGGTCAATGTGATGAGGTTGTAAGAGAGAGGAATTGATGAAAGATCACACAATGAGTTCCATGATTCAGTCAGGATAAGAATATGGATGTCTCCAGTCTCTATTCAACTTACTTACTTACTTAAGCGATCCCTCATTGTCTGAGTAGGATATTCCTCCAGGACCAGTGTAAAGGCGGTGGGTCCGTAGGAGACTGTGAAGCCAAATTTTTTATCTGCATCTTCTCCCATAGTGAGTGCATTGGTTTCCAGATGGAAGGCAGTCCTGGTCAGGGTTGGCTTGACGCGCCTTTTTCTTGGCACGTTTCTCTCTTTCGCCCTCCATTCATGCATCTTCAAATTCTACAGCACTGCTGGTCACAGCTGACCTCCAGCTGGAGCACTCAAGCGCCAGGACTTCCCAGTTCTCAGTGTCAATGCCAGAGTTTTTAAGGTTGGCTTTGAGCCCATCTTTAAATCTCTTTTCCTACCCACCAACATTCCATTTTCCTTTCTTGAGTTCGGAGTAGAGCAACTGCTTTGGGAGAATATGGTTGGGCATCAGGACAACGTGGCCGGTCCAGCGGAGTTGATGGCGGAGGACCATCGCTACAATGCTGGTGGTCTTTGCTTCTTCCAGCATGCTGATATTTGTCCGCTTGTCTACCCAAGAGATTTGCAGGATTTTTGAGAGGCAGCGCTGATGGAATCGTTCCAGGAGTTGCATGTGACGTCTGTAGACAGTCCACGTCTCACAGGCATATAGCAGGGTTAGGACGACAATAGCTTTATAAACAAGCACCTTGGTATCCCTACGGATGTCCCGGTCCTCAAACACTCTGTGCTTCATTTGGAAAAAAGCTGCACTTGCAGAGGTCAGGCAGTGTTATATTTCGGTGTCAATGTTGACTTTTGTGGAGAGGTGGCTGCCAAGGTAGTGGAAATGGTCAACATTTTCTAATGTTACACCATTAAGCTGTATTTCTAGCATTGGAGAGGGATTGTTTGGTGACTGCTGGAAGAGCACTTTGGTTTTCTCGATGTTCAATGACAGACCGAGCTTTTCGTATGCTTCTGCGAACGTGTTTAGAGTGGTTTGTAGGTCTTCCCAATGTGCACAGATGACGTTGTCATTTTCAGCTGCAAGCTTCAAGCAACTTAGGTATGACAAATGCAAGATATAAACAGGTCTACTAACAAGTCGGTACACTGCCATTGTGTTATATGGTTAATTTTCCCTTTGTGCTCTTTTATTTCATCTTTTGACTTCTTCCTGCTTCTCCACACACACAGGCTCTTTGTCAGATGCATGGCGAGAAGAACTGAAGGAGCTCGCTGCAAGAGTGACTGCTACTTCTTTTACTAAAAAGGAGAAAAAGGAGACAGTAAGTAGAAACACTGAGGTAAGTGGGGTTGCGGGTCATGAGGCTGCTTTGCTGTGGCATGTGATCAGCTCAGCACTAGGACTAATAGTGACAACCACAGAGTAGGGGAACTCAGATGTTTTTTGTTCATGGTTTCAGGATGTTGTTTCAGGAAGCTCACACCAGTCATTAGCCAGCATGCAGATAGATTCACTAAATAGGAGAAGTTGCTGTTGTTTAACATCTGTTGTTTGGTAACACTTATGTCCTGCCTGTCCTCCAATGAGTTCAAGGCAGCAGACAGGGCTTTCCTCCAAATTACTTTAATCTCACAACAGTCTCGAAAGGACAGTAGAGTCTTGCTTATCCAACATAAATGGGCCGGCAGAACGTTGGATAAGCGAAAATGTTGGATAATAAGGAGGGATTTAAGGAAAAGCCTATTAAATGTCAAATGATGTTATGATTTTTACAAATTAAGCCCCTGGTGGCGCATTGGGTTAAACCCTTGGGCCAGCAGGACTGAAGATCGACAGGTCGCAGATTCAAATCCGGGGAGAGTGAGGATAAGCTCCCTCTGTCAGCTCCAGCTCCTCGTGTGGGGACATGAGAGGAGCCTCCCACAAGGATGGTAAAACATCAAAACATCTGGGCGTCCCCTGGGCAACGTCCTTGCAGGTGGCCAGTTCTCTCAGACCAGAAGCAATTTGCAGTTTCTCAAGTTGCTCCTGACACACACAATCCCCGCCCCAAATCATGTCTTACAACAAATTAACAGAAAAAGCAGTTCAATACACAGTAATGTTATGTAGTAATTACTGTATTTACGAATTTAGCACCAAAACATTGTAATGTATTGAAAACATTGACTACAGTGACATGCTGTTTGTTTTTCTAGGCAGCAATGCGCAACGGGCCTCTCCACATACTGGGCACCCGTCGTGAAGAGCAAGATACAGCTGGTGCAATTGGACATTGTGCCTGATGGGAAAAGTCTCGCCCCTCCCGGCAGGCACCTGGCACAAGGAGAGGCCCACAGCACATTGCTGCCTACAGCTGTGGATCTGGGCGGGAGAGAGGCTGCATTGGATAATTTTTGAGCTACAAGTGGTTGAATTTGTAAATATAGAGGGCTAAATATATCTTATTACTCCAAAAACCAAGTCCCCGGTTCCAATCCGAGGGCAAGGATACTGTATAATATATAGACAATGAAAGATCTTTACATCTAGTTATTGAAGCCAGAATGTGATACTTTGGGAATCATTCCCAGTTAAAACTTTGTGATTGATAGCTACTAGGGCTGGGCGGTTTCGTTTCGTTAATTCGTAATTCGTTAATAATTCGTTAATTTTTTCAATTACAAAACGATAACGAACCATTCTGGAGCAATTATTAAAAAAAAAACGAATTTTCAAAAACGTTTTGTAAATGCTTCGTATTTCGATATTGTATTCGTTTCGTTATTGTTTTGAGGTCGTTTCGTTATTATTTCCGCATGTCTGGGCCAGTTTTATGGTTTAATTAGTGAAAAAAAATTATAATATCACACCAACAGTCAACAACAGAGGGAGAGGGAAGCTTCAGAAGGTTTTGGAGGTTTTTTAGCGTATTTCGCGGTCGCGTCCGCCATTAACGAATCGATTCGTTATTGTTTCGGAAATCGATTCGTTAATTTTTTACCATTTACGAAATTTCGTAAATATCGAACTTTTTAAAAGGAAAATTTTGTAATTATTTTAAATATCGAAACAAAAAAACCCCCCAAATACAAATCGATTTTAGAAACAAATTTTTCCGTTGTTACCCAGGCCTAATAGCTACACATGACTCAGACTAACCAGTACCACATGATGACAGCTTGAAACTGTATCAAATAATAATAATAATAATAATAATAATAATAATAATAAACCTTTATTTATACCCCGCTACCATCTCCCGCAGGACTCGGTGCGGCTTACAAGAGGCCGAGCCCAAATACATCATAAAACGTAACAACAACAATACAACAATAAATAACTCATAACAAAGCAAAACAATACGATAATGTCAAAGACTCGACAAGATGTGGAACAGAACTGGAAAAGAGTACTTCCAAGTTAGTCTGAGTAGACAAGAAAAGAGAATATTATGATCCTTCCAACCAAGAATGGAATCTTGAGGGCAATATTTGGGAAAAGTCAGTCTATGGCAGGGGTCCTCAAACTTTTTAAACAGAGTGCCAGGTCACAGTCCCTCAACCTGTTGGATTATAATTTGAAGAAAAAAACATAACTGAATTCCTATGCACACTGCACATATCTTATTTGTAGTGCAAGAAACACTTAAAAACAATACAATAATTAAAATGAAGAACAATTTTAACAAATATAAACTTATTAGTATTTCCATGAGAAGTGTGGGCCTGCTTTTGGCTGATGAGATAGGATTGTTGTTGTTGTTGTTGTTGTTGTTGTTGTTGTATGGTTTCAAATCATTTCAGACTTAGGTTGACCCTGAGTGAGGGCTGGGTAAATGACCTTGGAGAGCCATATTCGGCCTCCGGGCCTTAGTTTGAGGACCTCTGGTCTATAGGATGAGCAAAGACTAATCACGCTACACAATTATAACATTATGATTCCACTTTAACTGCAAAAGTTGTATTCTATCAAAATCTGCAGTTTGTAATTTAGTAATGCACTAGATTGTCTGAGTGTGAACTTTAAATACTCCTCCCTAAACCACAAATCTTGGGATTCCATAGAGCAGAACCATGGCAGTTAAGGCAAAATCGTTGGGATCATCACTGTTCTGACACGACGGAGGCATCCAAATAACAAGTAAGAAGGAAAAGGGATCACCCGATCACTCAGGCCAATGTCAAAATGGAACATCTTTGCATCACCTTGTTATGAAATACCTTGTAATTCTATTTAAATTATAGCAGTTATTTTAAAATCTGTTGCTGTACACATGAGTTAGCAGATGAAAGGTTTATGCAAACTTTTCTTTCATCCTCTTCCTGGCTAGTACATTTCCTCAACCATTTTGATGACGGCTCAGTGCACACCTTCATCATACACCCAGTTGAACTCTCTTGAGGGTTACCTTTATAAACACAAAGATCTTGTGGATGGATGGATGGATGGATGGATGGATGGATGGATAGATAGATAGATAGATAGATAGATAGATAGATAGATAGATAGATAGATAGATAGATAATTCAGTGGCCTTCTTCCCTCTCTGTTTTTAACCACCAGTAGGTGGCCCACAAACCTTGGCTATAAAAAATAAGAGAATTAGTACTACCATTGATTAGCTATAAAGACACATACATGCGCTACCATTCCTGCTAATGAAGCCTCTTTCTTCTTTGTTCCTATGCAAATATTTCAAACAGAAATATTGTTGAGAAAGGAATAAACAACTGTGACCTTCACTGGGACTTTCAAGGGAATCTCAGTGTTTCTAAAAGCATAAAAATACCTTAAAATGAAAGAACTATTTCAAAACATTCCAATGAAGATAGGGGATGCTCAGTGGGCATAAAATAATACCTATTTTGGGGCAGGGATGGAAACTTGGGGATGACAGGAACCAACCAACCTGCCTCACTCTGGCATTCTGCAGGTGTGTTGTGTTATTTCAGGGTTGGGTAACCTCAAGAAATCAGTGGAGTCTCAGTTCTTGTGGGTTTTTTTGGGCTATATGGCCATGTTCTAGAGGCATTTCTCCTGACGTTTCGCCTGCATCTATGGCAAGCATCCTCAGAGGTGAGGTCACCTCTGAGGATGCTTGCCATAGATGCAGGCGAAACGTCAGGAGAAATGCCTCTAGAACATGGCCATATAGCCCGAAAAAACCCACAAGAACTGAGTGATTCCAGCCATGAAAGCCTTCAACAAATCAGTGGTCTTCCATTCTTTGTCCAGCATCGACCTCAGAATGGACACTTTGAAAAAGAAAATGTTTTGGGGATAAAACAAGTAGTGGGGATGCAACGTTTATTTGAAAGAAGAACTGTGTTCCCCTGGAGGACTTTATCACACAAGGCATACAAATTGGCACTGCATCTGGATAACGGTCCCTATCATACAACACCATATGCATCCTGCTGCTGGTTTCTTTCCTCCCTTGTTTTCCTCCCGCCCTTAGCCGGGTAAAAACCATCAATAGCTGCCAATCCTGCTACATTCCCACTACCTACCATAGTGTGATAGGCCCTTCTGCTTTTTTCCCATATGGTAGCAGTAACGTAACATCGATTTATTCTCAACTTCTTCTTCCTCCCCTTCATTATTCCCAAGCATGTATATGTGTGTGTGTGTATATACTAGCTGTACCCACCAACCTTCCCTCCTTCTTTCTCTCCTTCTTTCTTTCTGTCCTTCCTTTCCTCCCTCCCTCTTTCCTTCCTTCCTTTCTTTTTTTATTTTCCTTCTCTCCTTCCTTCCTTCTCTTCTTCTTCCCTTCCTTCCCCCTTTTTCTTTCCCTTCCCCTTTCTCTCCTTTTTTCCTTCTCTACCTCTTTCTCTCCTTTCTTCCTTCTCTACCTCTTACTTTCCTTCTTTCCTTCACTCTTTACTTCCATCCTTCCTTCTTTCCTTCTTTGCTTCTCTTTTTCTCTCCTTCTTTCCTTCCTTCCTTCCTTCCTTCCTTCCCTGGTGGTGGATGAGGATTTCACCGGACCCACCATTGTTCCTAGATCCTGCTCTGGCTGGAAGAAGGAGGGTGGTTGGTGGTGCCTCTCAGGCTTGCTATGTTCTCGCACAGGAAGGGGCGGGGCTATGAAAATCATTTGTGTGCATGTGCTGTGTTGGCTTCTACTTTATTTGGATTTTAAAGTTCTTTTCGCGGTTTTTAGTGATTTTTTTGAGTGATGGTCACTCCTTGGGTTAGTAGGTGTCTTGTGGCCTAATTTGGTGTCATGTCATCCAGTCATTTTTTAGTTATGTGCGTCCTACAAACAAACAAACAAACACACACACACACACACACACACATATATATATATATATATATATATATATATATATATATATATAGCTGAATTATATAATTGTTCTAAAATTAATATTAAAATTATTTCTGTACTTGTACAGAAGGCAGATTACAAGGTTGTGCTTAACTATGATCACAGAACCACAAATTGGTTAACTGGCACAATTACGCGAAGGGAGGTGTGATATAGAAGGTACTCAATCTGGTCTGTATCCATTATCTATGCTGGTCTGACTATAACAGAATAGCAGGTTGGTATTCTGTTATAGTCAGTGGCTATTGAATTATGGAGTTGGAAGGTACGCCAACTCCCTGCAGGACTATATAGTAATAATAATAATAATAATAATAATAATAATAATAATAATAATATAACAAAACTTTATTTTAGACTGCCCCATCTCCCAGAAGGGACTCAGGGCAGTTAGAAATTATTTGGAATCCGTATACAGCCCAGGGTCCATATGATTCTCTCCCTGGACTCCATACCTCCAGATAGCACAGCACAATTATGCAATTCCCCCCGTTTAGGAGTGTGCCGTCGCGCTTGGGGGCTATTAGTCTTAAAAGGAGGATGGACGTGGCATCTTTCCCCCAAGGGATTGCTTCTTGCCCTCCTTTAGGAAACTGGAACTCCCAAGAACCCAAAACGATGTAAATAACTCAAAACAAGTTTTGTCACAAAGTCATTTCTTCAATGCAATAAACTGGAAAACTTTAGAAGGGTGAAGGAAAAACACACTTTACAGTCTCTATTAGTCCTGGGTCCAAGGGGTTTGAAGCTGAGAAGCCTCACCAGGTTTCCTCTTCCTCAATGGTTGTGAGTGCCGGAGCAAAACCACAACCCCAATTCAAATGGCCTATTTTGAAGATTCAGGATCTTCCTCTGGTGCCAAAAGAACTGGCTTGAAGGCGCCTGGGTCTCCTCAGTATCCGTCCAGGATGATCTGGACATAAAGCATGAGTCCCAGGGGTAAAAAACTTCAGAATTGGTGCTAAGAGGTGACTTAAAACAGGGTCCTTTAGAATGAAGTCTTTTACTCACGTCCATGTTGCAGAAACTCTCATGGCTGAATGAATAGAAAAGAGGAAGTTCTCCCCTCTTGCAGGAAGAGGTGGAGCCAAACAGTGCTGATTGACAGCTACAAGTAACCAATCCATACAAATATACAGAAACATGGAAAAAGGGGCAAGATTAAGCATGATACAACAGTTTAAATCTTACAACTAACAGTTCTATACATAGGTGGCACCACTCGCGCCGTCACAAGGAGCAACAATCCACCTCACTTTGAGAGTGACATATTGAGGACTGGTGTGTTGGGTATCCTCAATACATTTATTATTTATTTATTTATTTACGCTATTAAATACGCTATTTCTATCCTGCCCATATCAGCCCGAAGGTGACTCGGGGCGATGGAGTTCATTTTGGCATAGGTTCCACTTATTCCAGTCAATCTGATTTATGGTCTTCCAAACTTGATTTTGCCTTGCTGTTTTATTTTAAGACCGAGAAGTCACGAAGAGAGACACAATACTCAGAAGAAACAGGACGCCTTATTCCTCCTCCTTCTCGAGCCATAACTCGTCATTCATCCCATCGCACACATAAGAACAATGCCAAGAACAGAAGCAAAGATGCTACTCTGGCTTTTCAGGACCAAGAACTGATAGTAAGAAAAACATTACGAATCTTATTGTTCCTATTCCATACCACCAGTAGATTATAAGAATCTGATATAGGCTATATTGTAATAGGAGCCCCCGGTGGCGCAGTGGGTTAAAGCACTGAGCTGCTGAGCTTGTTGATCGAAAGGTCGCAGGTTCGATTCTGGGGAGCGGTGTGAGCTTCTGCTGTCAGCCCTAGCTTCTGCCAACCTAGCAGTTCGAAAACATGCAAATGTGAGTAGATCAATAGGTACCGCTCCGGCGGGAAGGTAACGGCGCTCCATGCAGTCATGCCGGCCACATGACCTTGGAGGTGTCTACGGACAACGCTGGCTCTTCGGCTTAGAAATGGAGATGAGCGCCACACCCCAGAGCCAGACATGACTGGACTTAATGTCAGGGGACTACCTTTACCTTTACCTATATTGTCATAGGAGTGGAAGAACTGGGAAATAAATAAAGGGAGATATAAAAAGTAAGGTTTCTGTTCAGAATAAGTTACAAATTAAAATATATAGACAGCATGCATAACTATGTCCAGCATCTGTTGGAATATGGGAGTGATGTGGTGTTTACATAACAGAAAGAATAAAAAGGTGATGTTGTATTTCGAACGATATGTTCCCTTCATTGGTTCTCTTGCTTTCATATAGTCACTCACACCAGTACATAAGAAATTGCTTTAGGGAAAGATTTTTTTAAAAATATTACACTGGTAAGAGATAGGATCATAGCAATAGTCAGAAACTTGGGAGGGGGTGGAGGTGGGTACTGAAGAGAGTTTTCGTCCACTTCCACACAGGCCCATATGAGACTGAAATCCGCATTTTAAACACTGATGTCACTCACATATGGAGGCCAGACAACTTATCAAAGCCCTACCTTTTTGGCAAGGTGACGGCCAGAAACCCTCTTGGGTTGATCCACAGTTGGTCTGGTGGGTATTGCCTGATGCCAGGAGTTTTTGGAGGGGGTGATTCCCCCTCCCTTCTCCAAAGCTCCCAGTGCATTTTGAGTCATTTGGAGCTCTTTAGAAGGTCTTTCTGGTGCATTTTAAAGTGAAACAGGGAGTGGAAGGAGGCACTGCCATCCGACCCCCACTCCCCGGCTACTAGAGCTCAACAAGGTGGTATGGCTATAGGGACTGACCCTTGGTATTGCACAAGGCAATCCAGAGGGTCAGTCCCCACAGGCCCCATACCTGGGAAGATGCAGACCTTCCTTGGAGTAATTTTGGATTTCCAGGTTTGCTTTGGGTTAAACTGTATTATCATAAAGCATCATTCTGATGCCTTATGATAATGTGCTCCCCCCCCCCCCACATTGCAGTGTAAATGGCACTTTAGCAGTTTCAAAATTTAGGTTCTTGTGGGTTTTTTCGGGCTATAGGGCCATGTTCTAGAGGCATTTCTCCTGACGTTTCGCCTGCATCTATGGCAAGCATCCTCAGAGGTAGTGAGGTCTGTTGGAATTAGGACAACTGCCATGACGCCATCCTATGGAACCCTGAGATTTCTAGTTTGTTGTGGCTCCAGAGTTCTCTAACAGTAAATATTAGGCATGGTTAGGTCAGTCAAAATTTTGATAATTCGGAATAAATTCGGAAAGATTTGCTTTTTGAAGCAATTTCGAAGTTTTTAAGGAAATCGGAAGTCCCTTTGCCCTTCCAAAGACTTTTCCGCCATTTCTGTTACGAAGCAGTAAGTGAGTCAGACATGATTCAGCTTTCCACCCCCTTCTGGTCCCTGGCCTCAGCTCAAGCCAGAGAAGCCATTGTAAACCACAGTGGATTAATTTTCCCCCTTTCCTCTACCCCTGCTTCTGTCTCAAGCCTGGGAAGCCGTTTTAAACCAGAGTGGATGAATTGCCTCCCTTTCCTCCCCCCCCCCCCCCACTTCTGTCTCAAGCTAGAGAAGTTGTTTTATTTATTTATTTATTTACTTTGCAGTTTCTCAGCCCGTAGGTGACTCAACGCGGTTCACAACAAGAGCAAAAGTCAATCCAACAACATACAATATTAAAACCATTAACAGTATAAAATACAAACTAATGACATCTCAATAACAACACATTCACGTCTCATGACTAAAATCGTGATGCAATTCGTCATCCATAATTCCGTTTCCTATATTCATCGTGCTCATTGCACTATTTATCCGAACACCTCTTCAAACAGCCAGGTTTTTAGTTTTCTTCGAAACACCATTAGCAAAGGGGCTGATCTAATGTTCATGGGAAGTTTGAAAGAATCAAACTGTTTTAAACCAGGGTGGATGAATTTCCTTGCTTTCCTTTCCCCCCGCTTCTGTCTCAAGCCTGGGAAGCCGTTTTAAACCAGAGTGGATGAATTTCCTCCTTTCTCCCCCCCCCCCCCCCCCCTTCTGGAGTAAAACAACTACTTTCAAAGTAAAGACCACCCAATGAAACAGGAAATAAAACTTTCACACCATTAACAAAAGGATTCAGAAGTCTCGGAAGGTTCGAAAAGTTTTGAACATTTTTTTCTGTGAAAATCGGAATTGACTTTAGAATTGAACCACCCACACCCCCTAGTAAATATCTCACTAAACTACAAATCTTAGCATTCTATACCAATGTTATTGCAGTTAATGCGGTGTCAAACAGCTTTAATTCTGCAGTGTGGATACAGCCGGTGATGTCAGTAATTATATAGTGGCAATACTTCAAAGCCATGGTGGACCCTCTGGTTCTGACTCTTGCCTAAGATTTTAGGGGAGGGGGTTGTATCAAATGTGCAACAAATGGTAATTTAGCACAAAGTCCACAGCATTAGGGGGGAAATCAAGATAAGCCTGTGTATGCATATATCCTTTTGATGCTCTATTTGCCTATTTTTCAGTGTCACGCTGACCTGATCATGTTGACACTTTTCCACACTACTCTTCTGCCAACAGATTTTGGAAATGCTGTGTCAGATCCTGCAGACAGACTCCTTGACTGCTATTCAGCAATGGCTTCTCACTGCTGCTCAAAGGGGTGAGAAAAATGTGGAACCAGTAAAGAATCAAACTGCTGCTTTTGATCCCGGACACTTCAAACCTGGTTGTCTTTACCATATTCTCAACCATTTAATTTTGTTTTCCTAATTCTACCTAATTAACTATTATCTGATGGAATGGTACTTTTAGGACAGATGCAATGAATGATACATATGGATGCGTAGATAGACTGATCTGGCCGGGGTGGTCCATGCCTTGGTCATCTCTAGGTTGGATTACTGTAATGCGCTCTATGTGGGGCTGACCTTGAAAACGGCTCGGAAATTCCAACTGGTTCAACGAGCAGCGGCCAGGATGTTAACTGGCGCTCCATACAGAGAGAGGTCAACCCTCCTGTTCAAGGAGTTCCACTGGATGCCGTTTATCTTCCGAGCCCAATTTAAGGTGCAGGTGCTTACCTACAAAGCCCTGAATGGTTTGGGACCAGCCTACCTGCGTGACCGCATCTCCGTCTATGAACCCACGCGTTCACTACGTTCATCTGGAGAGGCCCTGCTCGTGATCCCGCCTGTGTCGCAAGCGTGTTTGGTGGGGACACGAGACAGGGCCTTTTCCATGGTGGCCCCCTGACTCTGGAACACCCTCCCCAAAGATCTCAGACAGGCCCCTACATTGGCAGTCTTCAGAAAGAACTTGAAGACCTGGCTGTTCCGATGTGCCTTCGCCGATTAGGAAATCTCCAATACCAAGTCCCAGAAGCACTTTATTAGAATTAAGATTGCCGCACACTGCACACTACACTTGCCCTATAATCCTTACATATCACCTGTCACATCAGCACTTTTAATCCTGTACCCTTTACTTTGGCCCGGCCCAGTTTTATCGTGTTTTGATGTATTGTTTATTGCTTGTTGTTTTGTTGTTTAATACTGCTTTAATTGTTTTAATTTGCTTTAGGTGTATTGTTATGTTGTGTATTGAGGCCTTGGCCTTTGTAAGCCGCATCGAGTCCTTCGGGAGATGCTAGCGGGGTACAAATAAAGTATAATAATAATAATAATAATAATAATAATAATAATAATAATAGACTGACAGAAGCATAGTGCATACAGACACAGGAAAGATCAAAATAGTATTCTGCTACCACATCACTTGTTGTTAATCTCAATCAAGTTGGTCTTGACTAATGACAACCCTTTGCATGAAAGACACAGACATAAACACATCCCAATACTCTTAACAGACTTGCAAACTCAGACTTGAGGCTTTCTTGATTGAGTTAAAACAACTAAAACTCTTTCCTACTGCCTCTAACTTTATCAAGCATTAGCCATCCCCTGCCATGCATTGCTGTGGCCCAGTCTGGTGATCTGGAAAATAAAGTAATGAGAAAGTGTTGGTTTCTAATATATGTAATTTCTTTATGCTTGTAGGTAAACAGTATTTCTTGCTATTTCTTTGTCAGTGTTGATGTGGAGATTGTCTGGTTTGCCTACTCTGGAACATGCAACATATAATTGTCCTTCTTTAGGGATCCCTTTCAAATCTATGATACTATATCTCTGTGTGAATCATATCTATCTATATCTATGCCTGGATTGTTGTCAGGAGGGCTTTGATTACGTTTTCTTGCCCTGGTGAAGGGTGTTTGACTGGATGGCCTTAAGTATTTTCTGTTGGTCATAGGGGTTCTGTGTGGGAAGTTTGCCCAATTCTGTTGCTAGTGGGGTTCAGAATGCTCTTTGATTGTAGGTGAACTATCAATCCCAGTAACTACAACTCCCACCTGTCAAGGTCTATTTCCCCCAAACTCCATCTGTGTTCATATTTGGGCATATGGCATATTCGTGCCAAGTTTGGTCCAGATCCAGCATTGTTTGAGTCCAAAGTGCTCTCAGGATGTAGGTAAACTACAACTCCCAAACTCAAACACAATATTAGTAACATTTATTTATTTATTTACTAGCTGTCCCCTGCCATGTATTGCTGTGGCCCACATGAGGGTTCTGGGTGGGAAGTTTGACCTAATTCTATCGTTGGTGGGGTTAAGAATGCTCTGTGATTGTAGGTGAACTATAAATCCCAGTGACTACAACTCCCAAATGTCAAGGTCTATTTTCCCCAAAATCCATGTTCATATTTGGGCATATGGAATATTTGTGCCAAGTTTGGTCCAGATCCATCATTGTTTGAGTCCAAAGTGATCTCTGGATGTAGGTGAACTACAACTCCCAAACTCAAGGTTAATGCCTACCAAATCCTTCCTGTATTTTCTGTTGGTCATGGGAGTCCTGTGTACCACATTTGGTTCAATTCCATCATTGATGGAGTTCAGAATACTCATTGATTGTAGGTGTACTATAAATCCCAGCAACTACAACTCCCAAATGACGAAATCAATTTTTTTTTAGTGATGGTCACTCCTTGGGTTATTAGGTGTCTTGTGGCCAAATTTGGCAGCAATTTGTCCAGTTGTTTTCAGTTATGTTGATCCCACAAACAAACATTACATTTTTATTTATATAGACTAGCCATCCCCAACCACATGTTGCTGTGGCCCAATCTGTGCATATGTGTTTTGTGTGTGTTTGTATGTTTATATATGTGGTTTTGCGCATGTATTGTAATGAGGGGTTTTTTTTTTTTTTTTGGCTTTTTAAGTCTCTTCCACTGTGTTTTTTATTGTTTTTATGAGTGATAGTCACTCGTTGGCCTGATCGGTGTATTGTGTCCAAATTTGGTGTCAACTCATCCAGTGTTTTTGAGTTAAGTTAATCCCACAAACAAACATTACATTTTTATTTATATACTAGCTGTCCCCAGCCACACTTTGCTGTGGCCTCAGTCTGGTTCCTTCCTTCTTTACCTCTTTCCTTTCTTATCCCCCCTTTTCTGTCCCTTCTTTCTCTTATTCCTTCCTTCTCTACCAATTTCTTTCCTTCCTTTCTTCTCTCCTTCCTTCCCTCTTTCCCTCCCTCCTTCTCTATCCTTTCCTATGACTCATTCCTTCATTCTTTCTCTTTCCTTCCTTCTTTCCTTCTCTCCTTCCTTCCCTCCCACTTTCATTCCTTCCCTCTTTTTTTCTTTCCTTTTCTCCTTCCTTCCTTCCTTCCTTCCTTCCTTCCTTCCTTCTTTCTTTCCCTCCCTTTTTCCTTCATTCCCCATTTTTTCTTTCCCTTCCTTTCTAGCCTTTCTTACTTCTTTACCTCTTTCTTTCCTCTCAAAGCTGGTATGGCCAGCACTTTCCCTTGCGCAGGAGGGGGCGGGGTCTGGGGAGTTGTTTCCACACATGGACTGTATCATCATTTAGCTTTTTGGGTTTTTAAGTCCCTTCTGCTGTGTTTTTCAGTGTTTTTATGAGTGATGGTCATTCGTTGGTCTGATAGGTGTATTGTGTCCAAATTTGGTGTCACTCCATCCAGTGGTTTTTGAGTTATGTTAATCCCACAAACTAACATTAATTTTTTTTATTTATATAGACTAGCCATCCCCTGCCATGTGTTGCTGTGGCCCAGTCTGTGTATATGTGTGTGTATATATTTGTGTGTTTGTGTGTATATGTGGTTTTGCACATGTGTTGTACTGTATTTTTGTTTTATGGCTTTTTAAGTTTCTTCTACTGTGTTTTTCAGTGTTTTTATGAGTGATGGTCACTCGTTGTTATAATCAGTGTATTGTGTCCAAATTTGGTGTCAATTCATCCAGTGGTTTTTGAGTTATGTTGATCCCACAAACAAACATTACATTTTTATTTATATAGATTATTGCCTTTTTCACATGAGTACATACATCAGTGTAAGTATGTGTGCACATATGCGTGCCTACCTTCAAGTTGCTTGTTGACGTATAGCGACGCCATAAATTTCGTAGGATTTTCTCAGGCAAGGGGTAATCAGAGATGGTTTTATCTGTTCTTTTCTATGAAATGTAACCCAAAGCATCTTGTATTTGTTGGAGGTCTCTTATCCAATATGGTTGCCCTGTTTAGCTTCCATGTTCAGACATGATCTGGTGCCTTTAGGATATTTAGGGAAATGTATTTTGACACATTCTCAAGCAAACTGGGCAGGTAGGAGCTTGCAATTCATACAATGTTTCATTTCCATTCTCTACAGATAAAGATCTTGTCATGGGATTGTTGCAGATTGCCACAGCCAACCTTCAGACACAGGAGTGGGCCACTAGTATGGAAGAGAGTTGTCCACAGTTGTCCCCAAATACCTCAAGCTGCTCTTCTAGCCTATACAACCTTGGGAAAAATCACTTGAGAAGGTCATCACTTTAAAATCCTTTGAATGCTCACTAAAATACAGATTTTATTCAGATTTTGGAAATTAACAAACTTTGGTGTACAACATAGAAAGAACTTCTGCACAGATACTTTTTTTAGATCAGTAATTCAAGGTGCTTTAGTAAATGTTGCCTAACCTTTAGGCAAAAAGTGAAAATAAATCAAGACCGCCCATTCAGTTCTCAAATACAGGTCCAATCGACTTTCCATTTTTGCTTGGGCTAAGGACTAAGAGTAAAAAATCATGAATAAAGGAAATTGAGACACCTCTCTAGGAATCTCTAGGTCTTCTTGGGTGATCCAATGGTCAACTTTCTGCAGAAAGTGACCATAAAGTCACCCCGGAGAATTTAGAGATTCCTAGGGAGAAAAAACATGTTAATCAAATTAATGAATAATCAAATCTGCAAAAGCCACAAAGTGGAGACCTGTCTGTACTACCAAAGCTCATAAAAGTAACTTTATTGAATTACAGCTTCCAAACCATAATATCTGTGCTGACTTGGTAATCCTAGAAGCTGTCATTCAAAAAGCATCTACAAATTCTAAGCACTATCAAAACACCAAGTGGTGGAGGCTCCTTCTTTGGAAGCTTTTAAACAGAGGCTGGATGGTCATCTATCAGGGGTGATTTGAATGCAATATTCCTGCTTCTTGGCAGGGGGTTGGACTGGATGGCCCATGAGGTCTCTTCCAACTCTTTGATTCTATGATTCTAAGTCATACTACCCTTCTATTCTGCCTTGGTTAGACCACATTTGGAATACTGTGTCCAATTCTGAGCACCACAATTGAAGGGAGATGTTGACAAGCTGGAATGTGTCCAGAGGAGTGCAACTAAAATGATCAACGGTCTGGAGAACAAGCCCTATGAGGAGCGGCTTGAAGAGCTGAGCATGTTTAGCCTGCAGAAGAGAAGAGTGAGAGGAGACATGTATAAATATGTGAGGGAAAGTCATAGGGAGGAGGGAGCAAGCTTGTTTTCTGCTGCCCTGGAGACTAGGATGCGGAACAATGGCTTCAAACTACAAGAAAGGAGATTCCATCTGAACATTAGGAAGAACTTCTAGACTGTGAGAGCCGTTCAGCAGTGGAACTCTCTGCTCCGGAGTGTGGTGGAGGCTCCTTCTTTGGAGGCTTTTATAGGCTAAATGGCCATCTGTCGGAAATGTTTTGAATGCAATTTTCCTGCTTCTTGGTGGGGGTTGGACTGGATGGCCTATGAGGTCTCTTCCAACTCTTTGATTCTATGATTCTATGACCACCGCACTAGATCTCAGAGACTATAGATTCCATGTTACTTCAGGAACAATTGTTCTTAGACCTGAAGGCCATTATGAAATAGTCAGCAGCCTTATTAGATTATTGAGCATGGAAAAGAATACCTAAAATCACAGAATGGATATAACTGGACACTAAACTCAACTGACCTCTATATATTTATTACAAAATCCGAGCATACAGTACCAGAAGTTGTAATATCTAAGGTCATGTTTCAAAAGAGCCTAGCTTCTAGCCAAAGTTTGTGGTTTGTTCTTGTGTAATACTGGTAATGGAATTTTTTTTGGAAAGAAAGAAAGAAAGAAAGATCTAGTGAAAATTTCCCTTAAAGTCATTTTCAGCAATATAACTTAATTTATATACAGTGGATTGGAGACACAGATTTCAGTGCGATGTCAGTTCCTTTAAAAAAAACCCCAAGATTATGGTAACAAGAATGATTGATAACTGGCAAATAGAGGGAGAAAACGTGGAGCAGTGACAGACTCTGTATTTCTGGGTGCAAAGATTATTGCAGATGCAGACTGCAGCCAGGAAATCAGAAGACGTTTACTTCTTGGCAGGCCCGTAGCCAGGATTTTGATTCGGGGGGGGGGGGGGGGCTGAGTCTGAGTGAAAGAGGGTCTACCCTAGCAAACCTTTTGTATTGTTACCCCAATACCCCATGCATATGGGATATATTGAGTATGGTGATCAGATCATGATATGAATAAACATAACAGTTTAAATAATGTACCAGTAAGGCCTTCTCGCGGACCACCATGAGATTTTTTTGGGGGGGCTGTAAGCCCAAACCCCCCCCCCCCCCCCCCGGCTACATGCCTGCTTCTTGGGAGGAGAGCAAGAACCAATCTTGATAAAATAGTCAAGAGTAGAGACATCACACTGACATCAAAAATCCACATAGTCAAAGCAATGGTATTCCCCATAGTAACCTACGGATGTGAGAGCTGGACCTTAGGGAAGGCTGAGTGAAGGAAGATAGATGCTTTTGAACTGTGGTGTTGGAGGAAAGTTCTGAGAGTGCCTTGGACCATGAGAAGATCCAACCAGTCCATACTTCAGGAAATAAAACCCGACTGCTCATTGGAGGGAAGGATATTACAGACGAAGTTGAAGTACTTTGGCCACATCATGAGAAGACAGGAAAGCTTAGAGAAGACAATGATGCTGGGGAAAATGGAAGGAAAAAGGAAGAGGGGCTGACCAAGGGCAAGACGGATGGATGGCATCCTTGAAGTGACTGGCTTGACTCTGAAGGAGCTGGGGGTGGTGATGGTCGACAGGGAGCTTTGGCGTGGGCTGGTCCATGAGGTCACGAAGAGCCGGAAGCGACTGAACGAATAAACAACAACAACAGAAAATATAATACTATTGGAACACAATTATCATATTTCCCTTTTACAAGCAGTTCCCAAATTACAAACACAATACGCTCCATAGGTTTGTTCTTAAACTGAATTTATTTAAGTCAGAACAGGTACATTTTTTAAGTTTAACTCCATGTGTATGTATGTGTAAGCTTTGAATAGCATAGGGAAAGGTTACCACCCCTGTTGTGTTTGTTTTGTTGTCTGTATTACTTTCAGAAGACTTCACCTCACTTTCTATCTCTGCAATCACTGGATTCTGAAAAAAATGGCTTGTTGTGGAAACAAGGATTGGTGCTAAAGTTTCAGCTGAAACAGCTTTTCCCCCGCATGATAACCCTTACAGGAGTGAATTTCTTTTCCAACGGGTAGATTTCTCTCACTCCTTTCATCTCACCTCCGTTTTTAACTATTTATTTATTTATCATGTCCGGAGCAACCAGACAGTTGTATTACATTTTTAACAAAACAAACAGACAAAACACAAAGTTTGCAAGCTTGGTAGTTGATGAAATGTCCTCTGACCAGTATCTGGCCACTTGGAGTGCCTCTGGTGTTGCCTCAAGAAGGTCCTCCATTGTGCATGTGTATGAGGAGCCCCCGGTGGAGCAGTGGGTTAAAGCACTGAGCTGCTGAGCTTGTTGATCAAAAGGTCGCAGGTTCGATTCCAGGGAGCGGCGTGAGCTTCTGCTGTCAGCCCTAGCTTCTGCCAACCTAGCAGTTCGAAAACATGCAAATGTGAGTAGATCAATACGTACCGCTCTGGCGGGAAGGTAACAGTGCTCCATGCAGTCATGCCGGCCACATGACCTTGGAGGTGTCTACAGACAACGCTGGCTCTTCGGCTTAGAAATGGAGATGAGCACCACACCCCAGAGTCAGACATGACTGGACTTAATGTCAGGGGACTACCTTTACCTTTACCTTATGAGTCGTATGTAAGTTCAATAATTGTCACTTGGGGCTGCCTATATCTAGGGCTGATGAAAGTTGTAGTCCAACAATATCCAGATGTGCAGTGTTAATTATGCAAATTGGTAGTTTGTAGCTATGTAAACAATAGATGTTTGCCAGTTTTTTATTTTCACAATGTTTTTGTTGCCCAAAAGTTGCCACATCTCCTCTTCTCCTTCTGCTGCTTCTCCTCTTCTTTCGAAAGTTACAATATCGGTTTATTTCATTACAGAGTGTGTGTAAAAACACAAAAGCCAGAGCCTATCCCAGAAGAAGAGAAACCAGGTAACTATACTATAGAAAACAGGATGCCTTTATTCCGGCAGGGCTATTAATGAAGAACATAAGAAGCACAAAGCCAGATTAAGCCAAAGGCTTATTCCAATCTTTTTCGTACTGCAGTTGCCTGTGCAGAACCTTTAGGCACAAGTGCAATAGCATTATTATTATTATTATTATTATTATTATTATTATTATTATTATTTAAAATCATTAAATTATTAAAAACGGAGTTTTTGTGCACAATACTCCTGACCTCATGAACATGGGAAAAATAAAGTATGGATTGTCGATGTTGCAGTCCCAGATGACAGCAGAATTGATGAGAAGCAACTGGAAAAGCTTACATGATATGAAGATTTAAAGATCGAACTGTAAAGACTCTGGCACAAGCCAGTAAAGGTAGTCCCAGTTGTGATCGGCACACTGGGTGCAGTGCCTAAAGACCTTGGCCTGCATCTAAAAACAGAGCCCTGGGCGGCACAGTGGGTTAAACCCCTGTGCCGGCAGGATTGAAGACTGACAGGTCGCAGGTTCGAATCTGGGGAAAGGGCGGATGAGCTCCCGCTATCAGCTCCAGCTCCTCATGCGGGGACATGAGAGAAGCCTCCCACAAGGATGATAAAACATCAAAACATCCGGGCATCCCCTGGGCAACGTCCTTGCAGACAGCCAATTCTCACACACCAGAAGCGACTTGCAGTTTCTCACGTCACTCCTGACATGACCAAAAAAAACACCCTAAAAACAATCAGCGCTGACAAAATTACCATCTGTCGGCTGCAAAAGGCCACCTTACTCAAATCTCCATGCATGACTTGTTGATACATCACACAGTCCTAGACACTTGTGAAGTGTTCAACGTGTGATCAAATACAAAAGCCAGCATAATGATCTTGTTTGCTGTATGCTAATCTCATAGTGTATCTAATAATCTAATAATCTAATAATAATAATAATAATAATAATAATAATAATAATAATACTTTATTTACAAGCCACCCTATCTTCCCAAGGGGACTCAATCTCTCTGATATCCTTTACCAACTTGCATCCAGACACTTATCCAAAAACAAAAGTGTCACTATCTTAGTCATCCATGTGATAATTTTGGATTTTGGAGTATTTTGGATTTCACAATCCCAGATAAGAGATACATCCCTGGCATATTGCTTCTGTGTTTGTGTGCATTTGTGTGAGCCAGTTGATATATTGTTATAGGTTAAGAAAATGTGGTTAAAAATCAACCTCTAACTTTCATGCTAGATAATGAATTGACTCAGCGTTGTAAAGCCTGCAGCCTTCTAGATACTGTTGGATTGTGCCATTCTTAACCATTAACCATACAAGCTAGTGTTGATGGGAAATGGAGTCCAGCAATTTCTGGAGGGTCACAGGTTCCACACTCCTGAACGAACCAGATTTATCTGACTTAAAATATGTTTTGCATTTTAGTACATGTCGGCACTGCAGAAGTTCTTCAGTTCCACTCAAACATGAATGAAAAGCAAAAACAACCAGCTAAATAGAAGAAAAAAGACGTTCTTCCTGCAGCTCCAGTACTTGCTGTTGCTTCTTGACTGTTTCCCTCCTGGTATTCAGCAAATGGCAACATGAAACAGTCCAGCATTAGAAAATGGGTTATACTGTTTCGTAGTATATATATATATTATAATGTGAGCATTTTAGGGATTGACAGTTTCTTTACTGAGACACAAGTATTTTGAGGATGCCTCCAGATGGACAAAAGTTAATGCTACCAATCAAAATGTACTATATCGTATTTCTCTTTTTCTCTTTAACAGATTTGCCATTAAAATAACAATGACGCAAGAAACAGTGAGGGTTATAAATGGAACGCAGCATATTAAGGAATTCTCCATTCACTCCCATCCAATAGTGCAATTGCATGATTTTTTTTTTTACTACAACCACTTGTAACTCATGGCCCTATCCTATAGAGCAGGCGTCCTCAAACTAAGGCGCGGGGGCTGGATATGGTCCTCCAAGGTCATTTATTCGACCCTCGCTCAGGGTCAACCTAAGCCTGAAATGGCTTGAAAGCACACAACAACAACAACAACAATCCCATCTCATCAGCCAAAAGCAGGCCCACACTTCCCATTGAAATACGAATAAGTTTATATTTGTCAAAATTGTTCTTCATTTGAATTATTGTATTGTTTTAAAGTGTTTTTTGCACTACAAATGAGATATGTGCAGTGTGCATAGGAATTTATTCATTATTTTTTTCAAATTATAATCTGGCCCTCCAACAGTTAGTGGGACTGTGACCTGGCTCTCTGTTTGAAAAGTTTGAGGACTCCTGCTGTAGAGATTCAAAATATGCTGTTTAGTAAGGTATTTTCCATTTATGGCTAGAGAGCTCTAGGGCTACAATAGCTACGAGTCTAATATTTCACCAAACTACGAGAGGTATTTTTTAAGTAAGGTCCGTTGGAACATAAGTACACAACGAAAGTTTATTTCTAAAAAGTAAATTTATTTTCAGAAAGTACATACTTCACTCTATTTTTTGACATAGTTGCCAAGTTTGTTCAAACACTTATCGTACCTCTGAACCAATTTTAAAATACCCTCTTCATAAAAACTTGCCGCCTGCTCCGATAACCAAGAGTTCACCAAATCGTCTGTAATCAAAGAAGGGCGACCGGAGCGGTCCTCATCATGGACGTTGTCACAGCCATCTTTGAATTGTCGTACCCACTTACGCACTTTGCTTTCACTCATAACAGTATCACCGTACACTTCACAAATCTGTCGATGAATTTCTGCAGCAGGCAGGTTCCTTGCTGACAAAAATCGTATCACTGAGCGAACCTGACATGCGGAGGGTGAGTTGATAGTCTTAAACATTTTTAAAGCACAGAACAGAACCGTACAGGTTAGCTACAGAGCGGAAACTGAGCACAGTTGTTCCCGAGGCATGCCGGTACATGACGCACGCGTTCATTGCGGTATGCGCGCGAACTACTAGTGTCTACAACAAAATGGACCTTACTTAAAAAAATACCCCTCGTACAATTCTCTAGAGTTTATAAAATGGACCTTCTACAACTATGATGTGATGATACCCTTTGAAATTCTTGAAAAGATCTGGATCTGCTATATGCTACTGTTCCATCTTAGTATTTGACAAAATCCATCAAGGATGCATTGCATATTAAATCTAGTAGACATACAATTGATGATACAGTCCCTATTATGGGATGACTGTGAGATCAGTAAATAAGAGTGGATAGTGATTTAAATATGTAGTCAGTTTAGACTGATTTGCAGGCTTTATTGCATGCTGAAGTATGACTATCACATTTCCAAAGTTTTGAAGAAATATATAAGCTTGATATTATCCCTGGGGCTTATAAGGCATAGGCCCAAGACTGTGATCTTTTTCAGGTCAATGATCTTACTATTCTGTTGTTAAGCAGCAGAATAAAAAAAAAAGCCTGATTGCAGAGGACAGGAAGAGGAATGTGCTATAGGAAACAAAATGTTGGGCTAGGACAGAGGAGATCAAAACACTGATCCTTATTCAGTCATGAAGCTCAGTGGGTGAAACTGGGCCAGTCACTATCTCACAGGGTTGTTGTGAGGGTGAAATGGATAATGGAACTATGTATACCATATTGCTTCTTTGTAGGGAAGGTGGGCTATAAATTAAATAAATATATCAAAACATAGAAGCCAAGTCTTTCTTTTTTGTATGTCCTGGGATTTTATTTATTTATTTATTTATTTATTTATTTATTTATTTACAGTATTTATGTTCCACCCTTCTCACACCGTAGGTACTTACTTTACTTACTTTAAGTAAGTATTTACTTAAGTAAGTAAAGTAAGTACAGTATTTATGTTCCACCCTTCTCACTCCGCAGGTGAGAATGTACATATAAATGGCAAACATTCAATGCCATAGACACACAACTTATATAGACAGACACACAGAGGCTATTTAACATTCCAGCTTTTTCATGAGGGTATTCTGGCCACCAGGGGAGCTGTCACTTCACCGTCCATTTGTGACACCGATGAAGTACTTCCTCATTCTTTGCAGGCTTGCTTGAGATTTTTATGGCATCATAAATTAGTTAAATTAGCCTCCCCATGTAGGCCGTACCCAAATTTCCTACTTGACAGATGTAACTGTCTTTTGGGTTGCAAGCTACACAATCTGTGGAATCAGACGGCCAACTATAATTTTTTACATAGTGGTTGGTGCTCTTTAGTTTTTACCCAATTTGAGTCCCCAGATGTTATTGAACGAGAACTCCCATCACTTTTGATTATCTGCCATTTGACTGGGGATAATAGGAATTGTCACCCAACAGGACTTATGGCTCTGAGGTGGGGAAAAGTTAGAGGATATTTTAAAGTCAGACATCATATCCACAAGCCTTGTATCTAAACCCAAACCCCACAGTCCTGACCAAACAGAACAAACTTTGTATGCTTGCTGGAGATTTTTATGGCATCATAAATTAGCCTCCCCACATAAGCAGTACCTACATTTCCTACATGACAGATGCAACTGTCTTTCGGGCTGCAAAGGTCGACAGCAAGCTACACAAATTGGTCGGAAGCTCACTTCGACCAGGGCTGGCTTTGAACTCATGGTCAGTAGTTATCTTAATGCAGCTGACTCCCAGCCAGCTGCACCACAACTCTGGTGCGCGCCACAGTCCCGGTGCTTTACTGCTTTGTGTATACTTCATAATAAGGATACAAAATCTTTGTTTCCCCCAATTGTATAATATTGTTGTAAACTGTGTCACCATAAGGATCTGCTTCTTACAATCTCAGATCGCATTACACATCATCAATCTGTACATCATCCTGCTCATGTATGAAGGTGTGCAGTAATGGTATCATTAATCAAATGATATCAAAAGATGTTTAATGTATTGTTGAAGGCTTTCATGGCCGGAATCACTGGGTTGTTGTAGGTTTTTTCAGGCTATATGGCCATGGTCTAGAGGCATTCTCTCCTGACGTTTCACCTGCATCTATGGCAAGCATCCTCAGAGGTGAGGAAGTTTGCCATAGATGCAGGCGAAACGTCAGGAGAGAATGCCTCTAGACCATGGCTACATAGCCCGAAAAAACCTACAACAACCCAGATATCAAAAGATTTTCAGGTTTTGAAGGTATGTATCACTTGTAAAAGAAATCTTTTAAATTCTTATTAAAATATTTTTGTGACACATTTTTCTTCTTACACACCTCCTATACTATCTTAGACCTCAAAATGGAGAGGTGGAGTCAGACACCAAGACTGCAAAGTGACCACACTTTGCGCCAGCCCTCAGTAATGTGGGAAAACTGTTATATTATATGATTGTTACTCCAATGTTGGGAAAACACTTATCAATTGTCAAACATTTAGGATTCACTACATTTATCAAATCTACAATTGTCTGCTACTTTTTGTAAATACTGCACAGTCTTCCCAAAACATAGTACAAATAGTCCCAAAGTTATGAACAAGATAGGTTCTGTAGGTTTCTTCTTAAGTTGAATTTGAATGTAAGTAGGAAAGGTACATTTTTAAATGTAACTCCAGCCAAATGTATGTATGTATGCCCATGCTCTAGTTACATCTCGAATAGACTACTGCAATGCACTATGTGGGGCTGCCTTTGGAGACTGTTCAGAAGCTCCAAGTCGTTCCACAGGTGGTAGCCAGGCTGCTCACTGGAGCAACGTACAGGAAACATACACCTCTCTTGTTATGTCAGCTTCACTGGCTGCTGGTCTGCTACCAAGCACAATTCAAAGTGCTGACTTTAGCCTATAAAGCTCTAAATGCCTCAGATCTACATAGCAGCTTCTTAGGCTCCCCCACTAAAATATGTTTTATCTCTCTGGCTTTGTAGTATGACTGTCATAATAATAATAATAATAATAATAATAATAATAATAATAATAATAATAATCTTTATTTATACCCCGCCACCATCTCCCCAAGGGACTCAGAGTGGCTTACATGACCAACAGCACATCAAAAACAACAAGCAATAATAAAATAACAAGCAATAAACAAAATAAACAATACAATTAATATAACTCATAAGTAGACAATAACACACAAGAGTTTAAAAACCTATGGCTGGGCCAAATGTAATAGTTAAAACTTCAAAAATAAATGCTGGAGATGAGCAGAGGATGTATCTATTTGAAGGGTTTTAAATCAAAAATAAAGAGCAACCCAATGGGTAATTAAAGTTCTTCTCAGAGTGTTTGCAGGGGATTGTTTCCTTTATTCCAGGAAAGCACACTGGAACAGCCACATCTTCAAGCTCTTCCTAAAGACTGCCAACGTTGGGGCTTGTCTGATATCCTTGGAGAGTGAGTTCCAGAGTCGAGGGGCAACCATGGAGAAGGCCCTCTCCCTTGTCCCCACCAATCGCGCCTGCGAGGGAGGTGGGAGCGAGAGCAGGGCCTCTCCAGATGAACGAAGGGATCGTGCAGGTTCGTACACAGAAATGCAAAATTTCTTAACAAAGTCTTTCTCTTTCTTCCCCTGTCAACTTTCCCCCCAAAGAAACCTGATCTCAGAAGGCACCTCTAAGGTGAAACCGGTAAATGGAAAAAGAGACACCCACCTCTTACCTCCCTGACAGTTTCCATTGGCAAATTCCTTTTGGAAACTAGAAGGGAGGAGGCGAAGGTTGGAGGGGTGTTAAGTACTTTCTCACAAATATTGCTGATAGTAGAAAATAAGAAAAAGATTTGTTCATGAAAAAGAGACAGGGTATTGGCATGGAATATACAGAAGTAAACTCAGAAGCCTGGTTTGCTCCACTTTGGCTCCTTCTTTTTTTTAAAAAAAATATATTTTATTGGTTTTCTTAGAATACATCAATACATCTATTTATTTATTTATCGTGTCATCAGCAACCATTGTATCACAATTCTAACAGAGCAAAACAAACACACAGATTAAAAAGAAAAAGGAAAAAAACACACAGATTTTGCAAATTTGGTATTTGGTTAAATGTCCTTTGACCAGTATTTGGCCATTTGGAGTGCCTCTGGGGTTGCCGCAAGAAGGTCCTCCATTGTGCATGTGGCAGGGCTCCGGGTGCATTGCAGCAGGTGGTCAGTGGTTTGCTCTTCTCCGCACTCGCATGCCGAGGATTCCACCCTGTAGCCCCATTTCTTAAGATTGGCTCTGCATCTCGTGGTGCCAGAGCGCAGTATGTTCAGCGCCTTCCAAGTCGCCCAGTCTTCTAAGTGCCCAGGGGGGGAGTCTCTCATCTGGTATCAGCCATGAATTGAGGTGCTGGGTTTGGGCCTGCCACTTTTGGACTCTCACTTGCTGGGGTGTTCCAGCGAGTGTCTCTGTAGATCTAAGAAAACGATGTCTTGATTTAAGTCATTGACATGCTGGCTGATACCCAAACAGGGGATGAGCTGGAGATGTCTCTGCCTTGGTCCTTTGACTATTGGCTGCTACTTCCCGGCGGATGTCAGGTGGTGCAATTTCTTATATTCCGTCCTCAATTCATTACATCAACTATAAATGTATATATATCTTATATACTTTTTTCCACCTCCGTGCTCCCCCCCTTCCGAGCCACTTCAATTTACATTATCTTTCCAAAATACCATTTCTTCTTGTGGAGGTAATTTCCCATCTACTTCTTTTAAGCCATTCGCAATAAATTTTCCCCAAACTTCATCAACGTCGGTTTCCTTCCATACCCCTTTCCTGACTCTTAACCTACATGTCAATTTATCATTTATTGCTATTTTCCATAGTTCTTTATACCATTCTTCAGTTGGTATATTTATTTTATCTTTCCAATTCATCGCTATCAGTAATCTTGCTGCAGTTAACAGCTGAATAAATCCCACATTTTCTGCTTTGAACTAGAATATATAGCAGTGTGGACTCTAATAATCCAGTTAAAGCAGATACTGTGAATTTTTTTTTGCCTTGATTCTGGGTTATATGACTGTGTGGAAGGGTCCCCTGTCTTCAGGATTTTGGTAATTGTTACTCTCTAAGGTTTTTGGACTCTCTTAGCTTCTGGTGTGGATTAATCATTTGCTTTCTCTCTGATGTGTAATTTGGAGATTGGAAGCAAGTCAAGGCTGTCCACATGATCCCCCAAATCTAAACTCGAAGGATTTTGTTTCATTTCTCTGTGTCTGTCTTCTTGGATTGCCTGCCCATCAATTCACACCCAACCTTCATCATGAACTGGCAGGCAGCTTCAACATACTATTGGGTGCTTTTGTTTTCCTTTTCCACTGCAGCCAAAGGTAAGTTATGGAGTTATTTTTTGGGGGGAGAATGTATGAAATCTCAAAGCATCTTATGAGTACAAGAAGTTTGTAACTTACAAAGCTCTCAAATGGCAGGTTTTTATTGCAATTGCAATTATGTGCGTTGAAAGAGAAATATCCTGAAAGAGCTAACATTACTTTCTTTTTTATTGGAATAACAACTCATGACAAGGGAAATCTGTGAAAAGTGCTCTCCTATTGCAATCTCAAGACTCAGAAAACCAGACCTTCCTTGAAAATGGAAGTGTCTCTTGCTTTCTGTGATCATGGGAAATAAAGGACACAGAGAATAATGAAATATCAACTCGCTTTTGATTGACACAATAGTTATTGCACATCAGACATAGTCTGTATTGTATATTTAAATTGCCCCTGGATTTGATGTGGGCTTTTGGAAAAGTAATTACTTGAATTAGGTTATAAACATGAGTTGATGCAAACATTCACATGCATGGGATGAAAAGAACTGGAGATCAAAAAAAAAAAAACTTGGGAGAAAGTGAAACTGTCATGTTTGTTCATTCACCCAGAAGGCTTGAATCCTTGTGCAGAATTGCAGTTAAAATATCTTTTTTTTCCCCTGCTGGGCTCTTCATGCCTTATACCAGCATTTCTCAACCTGGAGGTTGTGAGGGGGTGTTAGAGGGGTCACCAAAGACCATCAGGAAACACAGTATTTTCTGTATTGTTGAAGACTTTCATGGCTGGAGTAACTAGGTTGTTGTAGGGTTTTTTGGGCTATATGGCCTTGTTCTAGAGGCATTCTCGCCTGACGTTTCACCTGCATCTATGGCAAGCATCCTCAGAGACCTCACTACCTCTGAGGATGCTTGCCACAGATGCAGGTGAAAAGTCAGGAGAGAATGCCTCTAGAACATGGTCATATAGCCTGAAAAAACCTACAACCCACAGTATTTTCTATTGGTCATGCGGGTTTTGTGTGGGAAGTTTGGTCAGATTCTTTTGTTGGTGGGGTTCAGAATGCTCTTTGATTGTAGGTGAACTATAAATCCCAGCGACTACAACTCCCAAATGTCAAGGTCTATTTTCCCCAAACACCACTAGTATTCACATTTGGGCATATTGAGTATTCATGCCAAGCTTGGTCCAGATCCATCATTGTTTGAGTCCGCAGTGCTCTCTAGATGTAGATGAACTACAACTCCAAAACTCAAGGTCAATGCCCACCAAACCCTTCCCGTATTTTCTGTTGGTCATGGGAGTTCTGTGAGCCAAGTTTGGTTCAATTCCATCATTAATGGAGTTCAGAATGCTCTTTGATTGTAAGGAAACCCTATCACATGATCACCATAAATCAGAATTAACTTGATGGCATATTATAACAACAAATCAAAGTTTCTGTCACACTGATCAGATTGTTCCTTTGACCTGCCAGCCAGCAGCACTCTGTAGCTACCATATCAGAGATGCAGTGAACCTATTCTGGCTTCACATTTTACTTCAGATTTTCAAGGCACGAAACTCTATTTCTATCTGTGTTCAGCATCTTGGATGGCTCCAATGGGCACCAGAACTGATTCACTGTCCTTTTCACAACAAAGCTGCTACTGATACCAGTAGCGTATTTTCTGGTTCCTATCCAGATGATGATGGGTACCATGAGAATTAATTATTTACTCAATGTGGCTAATATGGCAAAAAGTTTATATTGACGTGGGCCCAAGCTGCACTACCAATGTATGAATCATATTAGCAAGAAAGGATTTGCTTACAAGAAAACATGTTTAGTATATTGTAAATAATATATTGTATGTATATATACCTTGTAAGCCGCTCTGAGTCCCCTTCGGGGTGAGAAGGGCGGCATATAAATGTCGTAAATAAATAAATAAATAATAGTATCAGTGGAGCTGAGTGTGACTTTTGTTTTTGGAGATATTAGAAAATCCATATCAATCATACTTTCCAACAAAGTTAACACATTCTTCTCACATGGAATAGCTGTCATAGCTCAATATCTGATGGAATGTATTCATGTTATGTCATTGTGGAACATTTTTTTACAGAAAACATGGAAACACCTTCTTTCCAATCAGGAATTCTATATCAGTTCAGATATACCCTGGAAACCCAGCTAATTCCTTTGACAAGGCCATCTTTACAAGGAAGCAAGCTGCGAGCAGAAGCTTTGGTTGATGTGCATCTCTTGTGGAAGCAACCAAATGATGGAGGCCAACAGCTTCTCCAAGTCCAAGTCAGTGATATCTGTGGGAAGGAACTGGTGCTCTTTTCCATTTATATATTTGTCTCTATTAACTCTGGATCTCTTTAGATAAACCAAATCTGATGACTAGTCTTCTATATATTTGCAAAATCCTGATTTGCTAAATCATACATGAATCTCCATAATTCATCCTATGACCAGCTCTAACATTAGGTAGTGGGAGACAACCACTTCATGCAGCATCCTCTGATCTGCCACAGTTGCCCCCTCTGCTCTAGCTAAGGCCCTTCTACACGGCCATATAAAATCCAGATTATCTGCTTTGAACTGGATTATAGGGCTGTGTAGACACATAACACCAATCTTACTACAGCTGCATTGGTTACCAATTGAGCACCAGATCACTTTCAAAGTGATGGTACTCACTTTTAAGGCCTTGCATGGTCTGGGGCCAATGTATCTGAGGGATCGTCTCACCCCCTACCAACCCCAGAGATCCCTCCGCTCTGAGGACCAAGATCTATTGGAAGTCCCCAGTGTCAAGACCTTGCGTCTAACGGCAACCAGACGCAGAGCCTTCACAGCAGTGGCGCCATCAGTCTGGAATGCTCTGCCACCTGAAGTTCGTGCCCTGCGGGACTTACCAGCTTTCCGCAGGGCATGTAAGACATACCTGTTTCGACAGGCTTTTAATGTTTGATACTGTTGTTTTTAAATTGTTTTAAATTGCTTTTAAACTTTGTTAGATTTTAGCTATTCTTGTAAGCCGCTCCGAGCCCCAGGGGAGTGGCGGCATATAAGTTTAAATAATAAATAAATAAATAATATAATCCAGTTCAAAGCAGATAATGTGGATTATCTGCTTTTATAATCTTAACTATATGGCAATATAAAAGGGGTCTAAATATAATGCATAAGCACCCTGCAGTCATATTGTTGAGATAAAATGGAAAAGTTCCTTTTTAGATAACAACTCTCACAATTCCCTATGTTGTCTTGTCATGAATGACTTTTCAATAACTTTGAAGTATAGGTTCTTTTTATTGCAATTTCCAGTGAGAGAGGGTATATCAGATTACAGAAAAACGTTTAGACATACAGATATACAGATTCTATGCAACTACATTGGATTTACAATTACATGGCTTACAAACAAACAAACAAAGGGGAATTACATTTTCACTCAGCATTCATACCACATGTACACACATTCATCCTCAGGCATTCAACTATTACCATATCATTTTCTCCTCCTTGGAGAAGCACTTGTTAGGCCAGACCCTACTTTCCTGCAGCCTGCCAATCTATAGTGCAATAACGGCAAAACTTCAAAATGCCGAAATGCCAAAACTTCTTTCCCTAAGAGCAATGCCATACAGCATAACCCTGCACAAAATCTAAGATTCCAGAAGTACTTCTTCCTCTTCCCTTGAGAAAGAACCCCCAAAGTGACTAAACTGCTCCCTTGCAAATCTGCCACTCTCCATAGGTACACTATCTCTCTCCTTCCCATGGAGCAGAGCATAGCGGATGGAACAGACTCCTCAGGTTTGCCACACTTTGAGCATTATTAGACTGAGTCTTTTATAGGAATATTCTGCTGATGTAGTTCCAAAATTGTAAATTAATGATAGACGTCTTCCATCCTGGATCCATCTCAGTTTCCTGGGTTCTTGATCTTCTTGATTGGTGTTGATCTTATATTGACTTCCTTCTTAACATTGTAAACATTTCTGTTATCACTGTCCCAATTCTTATCAGATTTTACTTTTCAGCTCTTATTAGCAACTTTTAATTACAGTCCAGCAAGCAGGTAGTTAGTCATTGCAGGTCTGGGTCTTTTACTGGTGTTTCCAAAATTATTAGTTCCATTCATCCTTCCATTCATTTCCACACATCATATTACATCCACATTTATAAAATCTACACATTAATTTTTTTGTGACAGTCTGAGAACTGTTGTCCAAAAAAGGAAACTTTTCCAAGATTGAGTTGTCACTCCTGTGTTGACTCTGCATTCTCTAATAACAAGGTATTCTTTTTTTCTTTCTATTTTTGGAGATATTAGAAAATGTGTATTAATGATTACTTGCCCAGGTCTTTCTGTGGGACAATACACATTTAAAGTTATCCCTAGCTGTCTCCAGAGCTGGCTTTCAAATCTGACAAGTACCCAATAAGATATTCCTGTCATTTGTGTCAGTCTAATGTGGAATGCTCTTTGCACGGCTACTTGCGGATTAAAACTGATGTGTACTGTATGCACTCTCTTGATCCTGAATTATTTATTTATTTATTTATTTATTTATTTATTTATTTACTACGCTTATATACCGCCCCTCTCAGCCCAAGGGCGACTTGGAGCAGTTAACAATAGGCAACAGTTCAATGCCAGTTACAACCATTAAAACAATCATAAATACCATTAAAACACTAACAACAGTGTGTGTGTGTGTGTGTGTGTGTGTATAGCATTCATAGCATTAAAAAATTATCAGCCCCTAATATCACCGGAGCCCCCGGTGGCACAGTGGGTTAAACCACTGTGCTGGCAGGACTGAAGACCGACGGGTCACAGGTTCAAATCCGGGGAGAGGCGGATGAGCTCCCTCTATCAGCTCCAGCTCCTCATGCGGGGACATGAGAGAAGCCTCCCATAAGGATGATAAAGACATCAAATCATCTGGGTGTCCCCTGGGGAATGTCCTTGCAGACGGCCAATTCTCTCACACCAGAAGCGACTTGCAGTCTCTCAAGTCGCTCCTGACACAACAAAAAAAAAGCCCCTAATAGAGTATACCAATCTAATCAATGGAATTTGCTTAGTGGTTTATTTTTAAAAAATTTTAAATTATAATATACACTACTGGGAAACTACATACATGATGGATAAAATAAACTGCATCATTCTTTTTAAGTTTAAACTAAACATAAAAAATAATTGTTGATAATTGTTCTTATTGATACAAAGGATCTGAACTAGTTAGGACTGAACTGAATGTATGCTTTTGCTTTCATCACTGGCAGACCTTAAATGGACTAAATACTGTAAAAATACCCAAGCCTGTCTGATCTTGGAAGCCAAACAGGCTCAGCTCTGGTTAATACTTCAATGGGAGACTGTCAATGATGATACCAAGTCATGTGGGTTATACTTTTGAAGAAGGAAATGGTAAAACCACTTCTGAGGATTCCTAGCCTAAGAAAACTCTGAAATCTATGGAGTTACTTGAAGGCACATATACACAGAGAGAACCTCAAAGATTAAGTATAAAGTAATAGTCTGTTCATTGCTCTTAGAAGTTTATAAACATAGCATCACTTCCTACATCTGGATGATGCGAGGGACTCCACAATATAGGCTATGTTTGCAAATGGCATCTAGGACAGGAGGAAAGTTGAAGCAGAATGGAAATCTCCTTGATATCCCCTTCAGGCCAACTGGCCAATATTATCAGCAGCCATACTGAGCTTTAGAATGAAATATTCTTATTTTCTTTTTCCCATTTGTGGAAAAAAAAAGATCCATGACTTACAAGTCCATCATGATCCAGGAGAGAAGAAGAGTCAGAACCTTACTAAGGCTCAATATGTTAAAGCTTCATTGACTACAGCAGAAATCCAGCAACCAGTTTTCCTTCACTGGAATAACAGAAAGGTATGTGGATATTTTCTCATCCATACATGCTGCACAAGGTCTTATATGCTTGTTTTCTCTCCAGCTTTTCAGGTCAAATCAGGCTGCTATGAGTTTTTAAGACAATTTTGAGTGTTTGTCATTTACTGCATACAGTAGGCCAGTGTATGAAGTGAACTACACATAGGTGAGGAACCCCTCCATGGGTGAAGGCAGTCTAGGTACCTTCCCAGATGTCAAATCCAGCAGGAAGCCTGATTGTGCAGAGCCATAGATGCGTCTTGTCCAAGGAAGGATTCGCCATCTTTCCTTAACCAAGAGAGGCACATGACTCTGTGCAACTGGGCTTCTGTCACTTCTCTCCAATGAGAAAATAATGTCTCTCTTTTCTCTGCTAAGAGAAGCACAGCCAAGCTTCCATTGCCTCTCTTTACTGAGAACAAATTTTGTCATCTTCCTATTTGAAGTCATTTTCAGTGCACAGTGTATGGTGATGTTTCCAACACTAGTTTTCATATGGCATTAGCTTATAAAACTAGTGAGGGAAGGATATTTTGTAGTGGTGGCACATTAGATGGAAGTTCAGAACCCTGGAATCTGTAGATTGGTAACTTCTATGGATTTCAGTAAGGCCTTCAGCAAGGTCCCCCATGACCTTCTATCAAACAAACTAGTCAAGTGTGAGCTAGGCAAAACTACAGTTAGGTGGATCTGTAATTGGTTAAGTAAACGAACCCAGAGGGTGTTCACCAATGTTTCCTCTTCATCCTGGGAAGAAGTGACTAGTGAAGTGCCATAAGCAGGGCTCCGTCAACTCTATGATTCTATGTTAGTTTGTTACATGTGAAGGCCTTCTATGTGAATAAAAATAAGGACTTCAGCGGACCACTGAAAGAGAAGCTACCTCTCAATAGGGAATATGCGAGGATACTGGGTTGTTTTAGGTTTTTTGGGCTATATGGCCATGTTCTAGAAGCATTCTCTCCTGACATTTCGCCTTCATCTATAGCAAGCATCCTCAGAGGTTGTGGGACCTCACAACCTCTGAAGATGTTTGCCATAGATGCTGGTGAAACATCAGGAGAGAATGCTTCTAGAACATGGCCACATAGCCCGAAAAACCTACAACAACCCAGTGATTCCAGCCATGAAAGCTTTCCACAATATATGTGGTGATACTGTCCACAGTCATCATCCTGGACACTTTAGTGGAGAAAATAAGTCATGGTCTGATACATCACACCTCTTATGATATTCTTCTACTGCTAGTAATGCACAAGCCACCTTTGTATCCTAACTAGAGAAAATGAAGCAGGTATAAAAATGACTGCTTAGGAATCATAGAATCATAGAATCAAAGAGTTGGAAGAGACCTCATGGGCCATCCAGTCTAACCCCCTGCCAAGAAGCAGGAATATTGCATTCAAATCACCCCTGACAGATGGCCATCCAGCCCCTGTTTAAAAGCTTCCAAAGAAGGAGCCTCCACCACACTCCGGGGCAGAGAGTTCCACTGCTGAACGGCTCTCACAGTCAAGAAGTTCTTCCTCATGTTCAGATGGAATCTCCTCTCTTGTAGTTTGAAGCCATTGTTCCGTGTCCTAGTCTCCAAGGAAGCAGAAAACAAGCTTGCTCCCTCCTCCCTGTGGCTTCCTCTCACGTATTTATACATGGCTATAAATATCCTCTCCTTCTTGCAAAATAACAGAAGGTCGATGAGTTATTTCAATCAGTCTGTTTTTCCAGATTTCTTATTCAATGTCTCTTTTATAGAGGTGGAGCCCCAAAACCGCAGCCAACAGACTCTCCCTCACCCTCACCTCCACTTAATGCTATTGCTTCAGTGTCAGATCATTAAGGCGTTTGGTCCTCTTCCCTCAACTCCACTAATATTCTCTTCATCCCTAAATCTTGTTTGTCATTTCAGGTTGCAGGTATCTATGTAGACAAGGCTGGGAGTCCCCTAATTTTGGAGCTGAAGCGTGGCCTTATCAGCCTTTTCCAGTTGCAGACACATTCTGGGACAGTGTCTGAGGTATAAACAATGTTGGTGTGGAGCCCGGGCTCACACGTTTGAAGCCCCAGAACATTTTTCCTCAGCAAGGATTATGTTACAGATTTTCCTCTGTGTTTATCTACAATCCTCAAAGTAATTACAGGAAGGCTTTCCTCGGAAATATTGAGTGATCCATGTTGTAATTCATAGCATTTTAAGTGAAAAAAAATTGTTTGTTTTGCAAAACACATCAACTTAAAAAAAAGATTTTTTAAAAAAATGCTAGGGGTGGGTTTGTGATATGGATCAACACTTACTATTTTTGACATCCCATTTGGAGTTGGCTTAAAGATTGTTGAAATAAGTACCGGTGCTTCAGAATTTGCTATCAGCTGGATACGAAGCACAGTTTTGACCAGTAGTCAAATCTTTATTTACAGTCAGTGACCAGTATAGAATCCCACCTACAATTATCCATCCACATCAGTATGGTGTTTATATTAGGTTAGTATATAAACTAAAATTTAAAACCATTGTAAGAGATACTTAGAAGACCCTGCTCTTACTATAGGTTTCCAAAAAATAACCTAGACCTTAAACTATATCATATTAAAAAACATCTCCTCCTGTACTATCAGACTCTTGAATGTCACTTTGTATTTTTACAAATTGATGCACAGAAACAGGCTATTTATCTTGTAATTCTGAGGTCCAATATATATTTAACGTATATGTTACCCTAGTTGTTGCCTATGCAGCTATGCTATATCCAATAAATATCACATCTACAAAAATCTGGACTTTCTCATAGAGCATATTGATATTAGCAATTAAGCTGCGCCCGTACCTTGGGAAGTCTGACTTGGCCACGGTAGTCCACGCTCTGGTTACATTCCGTATAAACCACTACAATGCTCTCTACGTGGGGTTGCCTTTGAAGACGGTCCGGAAGCTTCAACTAGTCCAACGAACAGCAGCCAGATTGCTAACAGGAGTGGTGCTCAGGGAGCATACAACCCCTTGTTGCGCCAGCTCCACTGGCTGCCAGTTTGCTACCTGGCCCAATTCAAAGTGCTGGCTTTGGCCTATAAAGCCCTAAACGGTTCTGGCCCAGCTTACCTGTCTGAACATATCTTTCCTTACAAACCTTCGAGGACTTTAAGATCGTCTGGGGAGATCCTGCTCTCGGTCCTGCCTTTGTCACAAGTACATTTGGCGGGGACGAGAGACAGGGCCTTCTCAGTGGTGGCCCCTCGGCTATGGAATGTCCTCCCTAGGGAGATCAGATCTGCTCCCTCCCTCTTAACCTTTTGGAGGCAAGTTAAAACATGGCTGTTCAAGAAAGCATTTACAAATGCAGAGTAGCTAATATAGGAAATCGAATGATTTGACAACGGAACTGGACAATGCTTGATAATAATGAGACGCTAATGATGTTGTTTTTATTGTTGTTGTGGTATTTTATACTGTTTAATGTTTTGATCTATATTATGTTTTATGTATACTGATTTGTTGGAAACCGCCTTGAGTCGCCAATTGGCTGAGAAGGGCAGTATACAAATACAGCAAATAAATAAATAAATAAATAAATAAATTTAATACTCAAGCTAGTATTGCCTAGTTTCTGATTGGTCATGCATCTCCCACATTTTTATGGTTAAAATTAAGTAGCAAGTCTTTTTAATCCTTATAAAATCAATACAGAGCAATTCTGCATTTTATGTAGAAGTTGTGGTGTAATGTAAAATAAACCACGTGTAGTTCATGTTTGATCAACCCACACTCTGACTTGCCAGAGAAAGAAAATATGCCATGCAGGTGAACATTAAAGAACAAGTCGTTTTCTCTTCGTAGTTCAGAACAACAGTTGCATCAACTCATATAATGTCCTTTTATGAGAGATTTAAAATGGTCTTTCTCTGTCCATGTGGATAAACTCCTTCAGCAGCTCATGAAACAAGCTGCTGAAGGAGCAGTTTCTCTCAGCTTCTCTCTCTGCACCTGCACAGCTCAACCCTGAACAAAAAATGTAACAGTATCCACAGAGGTGGCCCTAGGTAATTTTCAACAGTAAGCAAACATTATTTTGGCACCCCCCCCCCCAACCAATAACTGATATATATTTTCTGTCGTGGGAGTTCTGTGTGCCATATTTGGTTCAATTCCATCATTGGTGGAGTTCAGAATGCTCGTTGATTGTAGGTGAACTATACATCCCAGTAACTACAACTCGCATATGTCAAGGTCTATTTTCCCCCAAGACCGCCGCTTTGGGTCCGGAGGCGTGCCTGAAGACCCCAGCATGTGCACCAAAAGTCACCTCTTCTCCTGACTTTCTCTTCAGCCACTGGGACCGAGAGAGAGAGGTGGAGATGCCCACCTTTCCTGAAGGTAGGCGCAAAAACAAAGGAGGGAGCGGAGGTGGGAGATACCTCCAGCCGGAGGGGCTCTCTCTCTCTCTCTCTCTTGGTCCCAATGGCTGAAGAGAAAGTCAGGAGAAGAGGCGACTTTTGGTGCGCACGCTGGGGTCTTCAGACTCGCCGAAGCAGGCCAGGCGCGGCGGCTCCGCCCCTTGGCCCACCCCGGATTGGGAGAGGAGAGGAGGCGGGTGGAGCGCCGGGGGATCGGGAAAGGGAGCCGGTCATGGGGAAGGGATTGATCACAGAGAATGATTGAGCGCCGGCTCTGCTCGTGCTCCCGGTGGCCGGGTGGAGCAGGAACGAGAGGGGCTAGGCGAAGCTCAAGGGCCCGGCCCCTTTGGGAAGAGGATCGCCCGGCAGCGAGGCAAGAAAGCCGAGGCTCCCCCCGGACTGCTAGGGCTGTTGTGAGCTGAGGGGGCGCTCCTCAAGTGGCGGTCGAGGGGCATTTACAGAGGCTCCTCTGCGCCCCTGGCAAAAAAAAGTGTTCTGCGACCGCTTACTTCGCGTAATGGATGAGCCGCCCCTGAGTATCCAAAAGTCCCAGGCTCAGCCTGCTCTCTGAGCATTGCCCAACCAATCAGCTTCATGCATCTTATTTTACAGTTGACACACACTCGCTGATTCCTTGCATGCTCCAATCACTACAAACATTTTAAAAGAGAGATAATTCTAAAATGAATTCAGTCCATCCAAATTCCATTTATAACAATAGTCAGTATGGAAAACAGCATAAAAGGATAGGCATCTGATCTAACACAGCATAGAGAGAGATATGTAATGTGGGGCTAATGTTTCACGTACTGCTGTCCTTATAGTATTCCCATTTGATTGCTTAGGAGGATATTTCCGGAAGCTGTCAAGTTACCTACACCGTTTCTGAGAATACAATCCTGAAGACTAAAGACCTGCACAACTGCATAAGACCAAAATTTGGATTCAGCTCCATTAACAAAGCAAGTTATTTTTTCCTCTTTTCTTTTACATGTTCTTCTTAAAGATTACTTATTTTTCTCTCCAGCTCTCAGAAATCAATAACTGCCTTTCCATTGCCACCTTAAGACAAAAATCCTGTGTCAATAAACCCAAATTTTGTAACGTTCTTTCAAAAACGTAACACATTTCTATTACTTGATGTGAAGTCCCTTCTTCTTGCGGTGATGAAAAATTAACTTGTTGTGTCACTCATTATTTTCCCCAATAATTTTAGTATTTTAAAAATATCCTAAAGATTGATATAGTATTTTTATCTCTTGAGCATGGAGTTCTTCCATAAAAGTTTCACGCAGAATCCAAATTATCTCTTCTTTTCACAGATTTTTGGAATCCTGTGGCAACCCACAAGTAAAACACATTACTCGGTGGAAGAAAATCTCATCAAGTCTGCATTGTCTGAGGAAATTCACACCGTTTCTCTCACACTGAAGTCTTCTGTAGGAGTCAACATCACCTCTAGGTTTGTTCTCAGTAGAATTGAAAAAGTGCATTTCAGATGACAATCACAACATTCTCAGCACTGCCCTATATCCTAAGATCTGATTCCAGATTACCTTCCTTGAACTGGATTATATGAATCTACACTGCCAGATAATCTGGGTTAAGAAGATAATCTGAGATCAGAGTCTGTGATATAGGGCAGTGTATTTATTTATTTATTTATTTATTTATTTATTGTGTCAGGAGAAACCAGACAGTTGTATTACATTTTTAACAAAGACAAACAAACAAATAGACAAAACACAAAGTTTGCAAGCTTGGTAGTTGATTAAATGTCCTTTGACCAGTATCTGGCCACTTGGAGTGCCTCTGGTGTTGCCGCAAGAAGGTCCTCCATTGTGCATGTGGCAGGGCTCAGGTTGCATTGCAGCAGGTGGTCAGTGGTTGGCTCTTCTCCACACTTGCATGTCGTGGAGGGCAGAATAGATCCAGCCTCAGTGAAAGCTTATGCATTCCAGAGCAGAAATATCACAACTTCACATAGATACTGGTGGTATCTTGGTCAACAGGGCCAATTTAGGGGTCATGGATCTTGATATCTTGATGAAGATACTGACCTAGCTTACAGTAAGGCAAATTACAAGTTCAGAATAATGACAAAAGGAATTAAAAATAAAAAACTACAAATTTCATACAGTTCTTCAATAAACTCATGGCAGAGACACATCCAAAATTTTCTGGAGAGTTCTAACCAGGATATATATATATTTTTAAAAACTGGGATCAAGTGGAAGAAGAAACTTGGAAGAAGAAACTTGGAATATATATTTTTAAACAGCTTACGAGGAAAGAAATTAGGGAAATTAGCAACCCAATGTTGAGCAATATATTAGAAGTATGGAACAAATACAGGAGGAAGTTAATAACGGAGGGGTCAATCATTACCCCAGTAGTGATGGAAAAGAAGTTTCCAAAAAATTTAAAAAAAGTAATGGATAAAAAGGTAAGGGGGAAAAAATTAGATAGGATAAGGGATTGGATAAAGGTGGGAATGAAGAAGGAAATGATGATGGAAGAGTTTAAAGAAATAAAATTGACATGGTTCCATTGCATGCAATTAGAACAGTGGCTTAAAAATTAGGAAAAAAATAATAGAAAAGGAAGCCAACTTAACCAATTTGAACAAATAATACAAAAGGGAAGGGATGTAAGAAGGCTGTCGAGGTCCTGAACCGGTGCCTGGCCGCTGTAATGGTCTGGATGAGGGCGAACAAATTGAAATTAAATCCAGACAAGACAGAGGTACTCCTGGTCAGTCGCAAGGCCGAACAGGGTATAGGGTTACAGCCTGTGCTGGATGGGGTCGCACTCCCCTTGAAGGCGCAGGTTCGCAGCTTGGGTGTGATCCTGGATTCATTGTTGAGCCTGGACCTCCAGGTTTCAGCAGTGACCAGGGGAGCATTCGCACAGCTCAGGCTCGTGCACCAGCTGCGCCCGTACCTTGGGAAGTCTGACTTGGCCACGGTAGTACACGCTCTGGTCACATCCCGCCTTGACTACTGCAACGCTCTCTACGTGGGGCTGCCCTTGAGACGGCCCGGAAGCTCCAGCTAGTCCAGCGCGCGGCAGCCATGTTACTAACAGGAGCGGGACTCAGGAGCGGGACTCCCAGCTCCATTGGCTGCCGATTCGCTACCGGGCCCAATTCAAGGTGCTGGTGTTGGCCTACAAAGCCCTAAACGGTTCCGGCCCAAAATACCTTTCTGACCGCATCTCGGCCTATGAGCCCACGAGGACCTTGAGATCGTCTGGGGAGGCCCTTCTCTCGATCCCACCTGCCTCACAGGCACGCCTGGCGGGGACGAGGGATAGGGCCTTCTCGGTGGTGGCCCCCCGGCTGTGGAACACCCTCCCTGTAGACATGTTGTGGTTCAGCAGCAACAGCATGATGGGACTGAGGGTGCAGATGAGCATGATGGGAATGGGAATACAGATGCAGGTGTGGGATTTCAGATTTCTCAGTTTTCTCAGCCACAGTCTGTAGCTAGAGAGAAACCATTGTTATCACAGGAACGGAATGTGGCTGATAAAACAGCTGGTGAAGGTCAGACTGTGCCGCAGGTGTTAAGAAGGAGTTTACGAATTGCGGCCAAGTCTTGAGTGGGAAAACTGCTTGTTAGCTGTCTGTTTAATGTTCAATGTTTTGATGTTTTACCTATAAGTAAACTGCCTGGGAGCTGATTCGGCGTCAGTTTCAACGTTGCAAAATGGCTCGCTTTGTCTCTTGCTCTGGGGCTTGGGCCTTGGGGAAGAAAGCCTGCTTCATATAACCTCATGCTATTTCCTGGATTATATGCTGCTTCTTGCTTCAAGTTTCCTGCTTTGACTCAAAGGGAATCTATTGGATTTTTACCTTATACTATGGACTTTATACTGCTTATATTCTGATTTGTTTGAAACTTCACAATAAACTTCTTTCTTCATAAGTTTGGCTGGTTTGTCAGAGAAAGCAAGGTGAATTTTAGCCTGAGATACAACAGTAGACATCAGACAGGCGCCCTTCCTTATGACATTCCGCAAGAGCCTGAAGACGTGGTTGTTTGAGAAGGCGTTTGACTAAGTGCTACAACAAATTGGCAATGATGAGTGGAACGGAATATGGATAATGAGATTGGATTGTGATTCTATGATGAGACGTCGCGAATGATTTAGTGTAATGGTTTTATTAATAGTGATGTTGTTATTGTTGTTTATGATATTGCTTTCATTGTAAATTGTCTTTTTATATGTTGTACACCGCCGTGAGTCGCCCTAGGGCTGAGAACGGCGGTCAACAAATGCAGTAAATAAATAAATAAATAAATAAATTATTTAGGTTTGTGGTTTAGCTGTGTGCTAATTGGTAAAATTTATAAGATACTAATTGAAATGAAGAAGGGAAAAACAGAAAATAATGTCCTCAAGGAGGTCTGGGAAGAAGACTTAGGGATTAAAATAAGTGAAAAAGAGTGGCAACAATTATGGGGACAAAGACATTTAAAAAACTTATCAATAAGGGTTAAAGAAAATTATTACAAGTTAGTATGGAAGTGGTATTTGACACCAGTAAGAATAGCATATATGAATAAAGATAAATCAAAAAATTGTTGGAGAGGGTGTCAAGAACCAGGAACATATATACATATGTGGTGGCAATGTAAATATGTAAATAATTTTTGGGAGAAAGTATTTAGATAAATAGAAGATATAATGAATATGAAAATTGATAAAAGTCCTAGTATAGCCTTATTATCAATATATAATAATAAGCAATTGGGAAAGGAGGATAAAGAAGCGATAACAAATTTATTAACAATAGCAAGACTGCTTATAGCAAGGAATTGGAAAAAAGAAATGAATATACAAATAGAGGAGTGGTATAAGGAAGCATGGAAATTAGCAATAAATGATAAATTGACATGTATATTAAGGGTTAAAAAAGGTACTTGGAAACAAAGCGACTTTGATGCTGTATGGGGAAAATTTGTTGTACATGGTTTAAAAAATAAGGAAGGGAAGTTACCGTCACAAGAAGAAATGAGATTTTGGACAGATGATATGTAAAAACTGGGGCTTGAGACGGGGGGAGGGGAGCACAGTGGTGGGGGAATAAATGGGGGAAAAATGTCTAAGCAAAATAAGAAAATAAAATGTTAAAGAATGGTTGAACAATATGTAACAGCAATAACAAATGTATAACAAATGTAGTAATGGTGATACATTAATAAAAATTATTTCAAAAAAATAAAAATAAAAAACTGGGATCAGTGCAGAAAAGGACAGCAGATGCTGGGGCCCCTTTTACACTGCCATATAATCCAGATTATTAAATAGATAATCCATATTATCTAACACTGCAGTATAATCCAGTTCAAAACAGTTAATCTCGATTTTATATGGCAGTGTAGAAGAGGCCGGCGTCTACACTGCCAGATAGTCTGGGATAGATAGATAGATAGATAGATAGATAGATAGATAGATAGATAGATAGATAGATAGATAGATAGATGATAGATAGATAATCTGAGATCAGATCCTGGGATATAGATCCAGCCTCTAAGGATGAACTGACCAACTTCCTTATCAGGAAAAGTTGCAACATTTGGAGACATAATAGAAGTGTATAATATTGTGTATTGTACAGAAGAAATACATACCGTATATACTCGAGTATAAGCTGACCCGAATATAAGCCGAGGCACCTATTTTACACAAAAACCTGGGAAAACGTATTAACTCAAGTATAAGCCTAGAGTAGGAAATGCAGCAGCTACTAGTAATTTCAAAATAAAAATAGATACCAATAAAATTACATTAATTGAGGCATCAGTAGGTTAAATGGTTTTGAATACATACATAAAACTATAATTTAAGATAAGACTGTCCAACTCTGATTTAACCATTATTCTAATCTTCTTGAATGTAAATGTGCTTATGTAGCCTTCCAATAATAAAGAGAGTAAAATAACAAATGTAATAAAAATAATAATAGAGTAAAATAACTGAAATGAAATAATAAGAGTAATAATAGAGTAAAATAATAAATGTCATAAGAACAATAATAAACTGAAATAATAAATGTAATAATCGTAATAATAAAGAGTAAAATAATGTGAATGTAATAATAATAGAGTAAAATAATGTAAATGTAATAACAATAATAGAGTAAAATAATAAATGTTATAAAATAATAATAGAGTAAAATAATGTAAATGTAATAATAATAATAATAATAATAAATAGAGTAAAATAATAAATGTAATGAAAATAATACTAATAACAGAGTAAAATAATTAATAACCTTGACTCAAGTATAAGCGAAGGGGAGCTTTTTCAGCCTAAAAAAGAGGCTGAGAAACTAGGCTTATACTCTAGTATATAAGGTAGATAGCAGGCCTTTTCTCTCTCTTTGGACCCTTCTACGCTGCTATATAATCCAGATTATCAAAGCAGATAATCCACATTATCTGCTTTATACTGGATTATCTGAGTCTACACTTCCATATAACCCAATTCAAAGGAGATAATCTGGATTTTATATGGCAGTGTAAAATGGCCCTGAGTCTACACTACCAGATGGTCTGGGATAAACAGATAATCTGGGATCAGATCCTAGGATATAGGGCAGTGTAGATCTAGCCTCTAAGGATGAATTGATAATCTGGATTTTATATGGCAGTGTAAAACGGGCCTAAGAAGTCACTACATGAACAAAATGATTGACCAGATAGGCCTGAGCTGAGCTGTCATTGATAAAATGGTGCACATTTCTCTACAGGCAACATCTTGAGCTTGTGACTCAATTGCCTGGATCTAAAGAATTACCAGGGAAGGATCTTCAGGATGCTCTTGCAGCAGTGCTGGAAAAACCACAGCTGATTCCGATAACCAGTGAACCCTCAAAGACGATCTGTACCACATGCCCAAAGGTGAGCAAGAAGAACCGTTTTGTGTAAGTCAAGGTAAGCCTTCCCCAATCTGGCATCCTCCTATGTGTTTGACTATGATGTGCACTATTCCAGAGAACCATACTGGCTGGCATATGATCATGGAAGCTGTAGACCAACATATCTAGAGCAGGTTGAAGGGCTTGGAAAATGGAAATAGAAAATGGAGGAATGGAAGGGCAGACTTCAGAGCTGGATTCTTCATTTCCTGTGACACAATGTGTTTTTGAGAAGGACTAGAGAAAAGAAGTGTCATTAAAGAGATATGCTATTCAATGTAGTCTGCAAGATCTTCCTTTATAACAGGGATGGTCACCTAGAGTCCCTCCTGTTGGAGTTGGATTGCAAGTTCCTTCAACCCTAGGTAACATACCCAATGGTGAGGAAAACTTAGAGTTGCAGTTTAACAACATCTGATGTCCTTTCTTACTTTTGTAATTGTCCATTATATAACATTGGGGCAAGTTCTCAAATTACCAACTCCTTACTATTATTGGAGTGTAAACAAATCACAAAAATATGTCATCTTATTTCTTCTTGACCAACATTAGAAATAGAGTGCTGCTTTAGCTTCAAATACTGTCCTCTAACTGAGTTACAAAATAGATCAGATTATTAGGCTTGGTTGAGCCACAAAAAAAAATGGTTCAAAACTCGTTTTCGTGGTTTGTTTCTAAAGTCAATTCTGATTTTCACAGAAAAAAATTAAAAACTCTTTGAAACTTCCGAAATTTCTGAATCCTTTCGTTAATGCTTTGAAAGTGTTATTTCCTGTTTCATTGGGTGGTCTTTACTTTGAAAGTAGTTGTTTTACTCCAGAAGTGGGGAAAAGCAAGCAGAGGAAATTCCTTCCTGCTCTGGTTTAAAACTGGCTTCTCTGGCTTGAGCCGAGGCCAGGGACCAGAAGTGGGGAAAAGCAAACAGAAGGAAATGCTTTCCTGCTCTGGTTTAAAACTGGCTTCTCTGGCTTGAGCCGAGGCCAGGAACTAGAAGCGGGAAAAAGCAAAGGGAGGAAATTTCTCCCTGCTCTGGTTTAAAACTGGCTTCTCTGGCTTTAAAACTGGCTTCTCTGACTTGAGTTGAGGCCAGGAACTAGAAGCGGGGAAAAGCAAAGGGAGGAAATTCCTTCCTTCTCTGGTTTAAAACTGGCTTCTCTGGCTTTAAAACTGGCTTCTCTGGCTTGAGCCGAGGCCAGGAACTAGAAGCGGGGAAAAGCAAAGGGAGGAAATTCCTTCCTGCTCTGGTTTAAAACTGGCTTCTCTGGCTTGAGCCGAGGCCAGGGACCAGAAGTGGGGAAAAGCAAAAGGAAGGAAATTCTTTCCTGCTCTGGTTTAAAACTGGCTTCTCTGGCTTTAAAACTGGCTTCTCTGACTTGAGCCAAGGCCAGGGACCAGAAGCAGGAAAAAGCTGAATAATTTCCAAGTCGTAACAAAAATGGCAGACAAAGCTTTGAAAGGGCAAAGGGACTTCCATTTTTTAAAAAAGCTTCAATATCACTTCGGAAAGATAATTTTAACGAAATTATTACAAGCTATGAGTTATCCGAGTGATTCTAACCATGCCTAGTGATTATACGTAGACCCTCCAAATTAGCTAGAATTAAGAATAGTACAGTACCCCTGTGAAACTGGAAAAACTAGAACAATGCTATTTTGTTTATATTATTATTAAACTTTATTTGTACCCCGCTAGCATCTCCTGCACGACTCGATGCGGCTTATAAAAGCCAAGGCCTCAACACAACAACAGCAAAACAATAACAATACAATTTAAAGCAAATTAAAAACATAAGCAATAAGCAATAACAAAATATTACATCATTACGCAATAAAAGGGCCGGGCCAGTGATGGGTACAGGTTAAAAAAGTGCTGGGTGTGGCAGGTGGTATGTTGGATTTCTGGGCAAGTGCAGTGTGCAGAGAGTCTTAAACTCTAATAAAGTGCTACTGGGACATAGTGCTGGAGATTATCCTATTCCGGAAAGGCACATCGGAATAGCCAGGTCTTCAGATTCTTCCTAAAGACTGCCAACGAGGGTGCTAGTCTAATGTCTTTGGGGAGGGTGTTCCAGAGTCAGGGGGCAACCACAAGGCCCTGTCCCTCGTCCCCACCAAACGCGCCTGCGACGCAGGTGGGATCGCGAGCAGGGCCTCTCCGGATGAACGAAGCGAGCGCGTGGGTTCATAAACGGAGATGCGGTCACGCAGGTAGGCAGCTCCCAAACCATTTAGGGCTTTGTAGGTAAGCACCTGCACCTTGAATTGGGTTTGGTAGGTAAACGGCAGCCAATGGAGCTCCTTAAACAGAAGGGTTGACCTCTCTCTGTAAGGAGCGCCAGTTAACATCCTGGCCACCGCCCGTTGGACCAGTTGGAATTTCCGAGCCGTTTTCAAGGGCAGCCCCATGTAGAGCGCATTACAGTAATCCAACCTAGAGGTGACCAAGGCATGGACCACCCCAGCCAAATCAACCTTTGCGAGGTACGGTCGCAGCTGGCGCACAAGTCTATATGAAAGAATACAGTACGTCAAGTTACATTGGAAGATCCAAAGATTCCTGGAGATACCATATTAATCAAATTCATGAATAATCCAGTCCAAAACAGTTGAACCCACCAATGTGGAGATCCAGTTGAACTGAACACATTTCTTTTGGTATCATCCACACAATCAACCCTTTAAATAATCAGTAAGGAGTCTTGCCCTGTGATGTTCCCTCTGTGTTTTATTTCCACTCATGTTGCCATTGTGCATCTTTCTAAATTTAGTGTAAATGGAATGATATCATAATGAATACGTATGTACTTATTTCTGCCCTTGATATTCTCGTCAGCTCAGAACCTATTTGAAAAAACGTGCTAAAAAGAAGCTCAACGTGGATCTCTCCAAGGCATCAACAACTTGGCGTTTTGGCAAATTGGTCCGGATGTTGCGTGATGCCAAGAAGAGAGATGTTCTTCTACTCTTGAAAGATGCACCAGAGGAGATGGTGTAAGTAAACTGGCTCAAAGAAAACCCTTACTTGACACTTTAGGCTCTATTAATTGTTGACCACTACCACATAGCTCTTCAGATGGCAACATACGACATGTTCTGATTGTAATTCACACAATGCCACCCTTATCAGCATACAATGGAAGTTGCAGCACAACACATCTGGAGGACATCAGGTTAAGTTGTTACCTATGGCATTGTAGATTATTTCTGCTTTCATTATACCTTTCCACCTAACTCCAAGGAAGCTATTCATTTGCCAAACCAGTGCTAGGCAGCTTTAATAAACTGGATGAGGGTAAATGAACAAGAGCTCAGCGGTGCTTCTGATTAGCTGAAAGACAGATCTATGAATAGGGATTCAGCCTGTGTTAAATGGGATAACACTCTCCCTGAACATATAGGCTCATAGTATGGGGATACTCATTGATTCAGCTTTGAACATGAAAGCTCGGGTTTCAGTAGTAATGAGGAGTGAAGTTATTATTATTATTATTATTATTATTATTATTATTATTAATAATAATAATAATAATACATCACCTTTTCCCCATGGTGACTCAGGGCAGCTAACAATCCACACTAGACAAGTTTAAAATTGCATACAAAACTTTAAAAAAGAAATAGTAACACTGTGGTAAAAACTAGGCTTGTGCATAGATTTCATAGAATCATAAAGTTGGAAGAGACCTCATGGGCCATCCAGTCCAACTCTCTGCCAAGAAGCAGGAAAATTGCATTCAAAGCACCACCAACAGATGGCCATCCAGCCTCAGTGTAAAAGCTTGCAAAGAAGGAGTCTCCACCACATTCCGGGGCAGAGAGTTCCACTGCTGAACGACTCTCACAGTCAGGAAGTTCTTCCTAATGTTCAGATGGAATCTCCTTTCTTGTAGTTTGAAGAAATTGTTCTGCATCCTAGTCTCCATGGCAGCAGAAAACAAGCTTGCTCCCTCCTCCCTATGACTTCCTCTCACGTATTTTTACATGGCTATCATGTCTCCTCTCAGCCTTCTCTTCTTCATGCTAAACATGCCCAGCGCTTTAAGCCGCTCCTCATAGCGCTTGTTCTCCAGATCCTTGATCATTTAGTCGCCCTCCTCTGGACACATTCCAGCTTGTCAATATCTTTCTTCAATTGCCGTGCCCAGAATTGGACACAATATTTATTTATTTGTGTCACTTTTATCCCGCCCATTTCAGCCTGGAGAGACTCAGGGCGGCATACAAATCAGCAAGAATTAGATGGCGCCATATATAAATACATACATTGATTAAAAGCAAAGGATGACATCACAATACATTTAAAAACCATAAAAGCAATAAAAACAATAAAAAATATAAAGCTATGTCTTTCTGTTCCATTCCGGAACCGTTCCGGTGGAGGCGTAATGGCGGCAGCAGCAGGCCTCGGAGAGCCAGGTTTTCACTCTTTTCCAAGTCAGGAGGGAGGGGGGCGATCTAATATCCCTTGGCAGGGAGTTTCACAGCCAAGGGGCCACTACTGAGAAGGCCCTGTCTCTCGTCCCCGCCAGACGTGCCTGAGAGGCAGGTGGGATCGAAAGCAGGACCTCCTCAGATGATCTCAGCTTCCTAGAAGGTTCATAGATGTGTTCGGAAAGATAAGCTGGGCCGGAACAGTTTAGGGCTTTATAGGCTAAAGCCAGCACTTTGAATTGTGCCCGGTAACAAACTGTCAGCCAGTGGAGCTGACGCACCACCTCCTGTTAGTAACCTGGCTGCCTGGTTTGATAGGTTCACTTCAGCCAATCTGGATTCTTCGGCTGGCCGTAATGGTAAGGGCTCCGCTGAAACCACCCACGTGGCTGCCGATTGGAACTTCTTTCCTTCTATTCATGAGCACGTGGTGCATGCTTCCTTAACCCCGTTCCTCAAACCCAGGCTACCATGAAAGGAAGAAAGAAAAGGAGCCCAGGAAAGATGCTTCCTTAACCCTGTTGCTCAAACCCGGGCTCCCTTGAAAGGAAGAAAGGAAAGGGTCCCAGGAATGATGCTTCTTTAACCTTGAAATGAAGAAAAGAAATGGCCTAGCAGCTATGATAAAAGATAATAACATTTCTTACCCCTCTGTCTTCTGTCTGTGCTTCACTTTTAGATCCTTCTATGTTGAGGCTGCTGTAGCTGCACAATCGACAGCCTCCTTGACAGCACTAACTGAATTCCTGGATTTTGGAAACGAAAAGCAAGCACCTTTGCTGGAGAAGTTTTTGTATGCTGCTGCCTTCTCCCCTCGTCCTTCGAAAGAGCTTTTGCAATTGGTGCTAGTAAGGATCCAGTTCTAATTACATTCCTTATCATCCTGTGTTGAGATTAATTTCACAGTTCAGAAGCAGATCTGTTGCACAACTTCAGTGCTTTCCAGTAGCTTCTTCCTGCATAGTATTTTCAGTCAACTGCTCCCACAAACTGCAGTCACTCTGGAACTCTTTTACAGACACTTGAGCACATGCCCGGCCATTGTCAGTTTTACCATTGTCTTTTCCCCAATCTATATGACATTACAAACTTACCATGGCACACAATTATATCTTGTCTTAGCAGACAGGTTATTTTAATCACATATAGCCTTCGACGAACAGCATCACAGCACAAGGAGAGGAGTATACACTCTACATGACTTCCTTATATACAATTCTATACAATTACACATAGCAATCTCTGATTTGTTCCCAATTCATTAACTTAACTCAGACCCAGGAATACATCATTCACAATCACCTAGACTAGGCCAGAACACATTCCCCAAATGAAGTTCTATATACAGTTAATGCATGACTCAGCATTTCCAATAGAAGCCTATTAGCAGTGCATGACTCAGCTATTTTACATTACAATACATTGTAAAACCTGACATCCTGAGAACCATCTGCTTTTATTTATGAGTGACTAGCTGTACCTGCCACACGTTGCTGTGGCCAACCTTCCCTCCCTCTTTCTCTCCTCCTTTCTTTCTCTCCTTCCTTCCTTCCCTTCCCTTCCCTTCCTCCTTTCTTTCCCTTCCCCTTTCTCCCCTTTCTTCCTTCTCTATCTATTCTTGGACTGCAACTCCCAGCAGTCCTCCTGATCAATATATCTACCTACCTACCTACCTATCTAATCTATCTATCTTATCTATCTGGAGGATTGCTGGGAGTTGCAGTCCACGAATAGGAAATTGGAAATATGCAGGGATTGGGATGCTCTCAAAGAAATCCAAGGAGAAGAAAGCTTGCAGCTTGGAAGCAGTGCATTTGGATCATCCTCCTCTCCTAAAGGGCATGATCTAGGGGATGCTGGGAGCTGTAGTCCAAAAGAGAGTGTAGATATGCTATTGTGTGTGTGGGGGGGGGGGGTTGCCAGAAGAGGTCGTTTTTGCACATGCGCTGTAGGATCTTTTTGCTTTTTTTGGCTTTTTAAGTCCCCTATGCTGTGTTTTTCAGTGTTTTTATGAGTGATGGTTACTCATTGGCCTGATAGGTGTATTGTGTCCAAATTTGGTGTCAATTCGCCCAGTTGTTTTGGAGTTATGTTAATCCCACAAATGAACATTACATTTTTATTTATATAGACTAGCTTTACCTGCCACGTGATGCTGTGGCCAACCTTCCCTCCCTTTTTCTCTCCTTCCTTTCCTCTTTTTCTTTCCCTTCCTGTTTATCTTCTTCTTTCTTCCATCTCTACCTGTTTCTTTCCTCCCCTTGTTTGCTCTTTGGTTACATCCTTCCTTCCCTGTATTTTTCCTTTCACTTTTTTATTTCCTTCTCCCCTTTCTTGCTTCTCTACCTTTCTTTCTTTCCTTCCCTCTTTCCCTCCCTCCTTCTCTCTTTCCCCCTTTCTCTCCTTCCCTCCTCTCATTATTTCTTGACTGTCCCTTCCAACTCTATTCTGTAAGTATATTTAATTTGTATTGTGTAGTAATATATAATAGTAACATATTATATAGTAATCTATATAACAATATATAAAATATTATTAGGTTCTTGTGGGTTTTTTTCGGGCTATAGAGCCATGTTCTAGAGGTATTTCTCCTGACGTTTCGCCTGCATCTATGGCAAGCATCCTCAGAGGTGTGAGGTCCTCAGCCCAACGTCCCTCTCTCAAGCTTCTCCTTCCATCCGGTGTGCACACCGGATGGAAGGAGAAGCTTGAGAGAGGGACGTTGGGCTGAGGACCTCACACCTCTGAGGATGCTTGCCATAGATGCAGGCGAAACGTCAGGAGAAATACCTCTAGAACATGGCTCTATAGCCCGAAAAAACCCACAAGAACCTAGTGATTCCAGCCATGAAAGCCTTCGACAATACATATAAAATATTATATTTATATCTTACATAGAAAGAAGGGAAAAAAGAAGGAAGGAAAAAGGAAGGGAGGTAGGGGAGGAGGCAACGAAGGGAAGAAAGGAAAGGAAGGAGAAGGAAGGAAGGAGGAAGGAAGGAAGGAAAAGAGGGAAAGGAAGGAGGGGATGAAGAAAGGAGGGAGGGAAGGAAAGTAAGGGGAAGGAAATGAAGAAAGGGAAAGAAGGAGGAAAGGAAGGGAGGAAGGAGAGGAAGAAGGGACAGGAAGTCTTAAATAGTATAAATACCATGAAAGCATAACATTATTTAAAAAAAACTTTTAAGAATTGAAAACAAAATCAATGAATTTAAAATACAAGAATATAGTGATGCATGCCATATGCCAGCAAATATGGAAAACACAAGAATGGCCATCAGACTGGAAAAAATCAACTTATATCCCCATACCAAAAAAGGGAAATGCGAAAGATTGCTCAAACTTCCGTACAGTGGCCCTTATTTCTCATGCCAGTAAGGTAATGCTCAAGATCCTGCAAGGAAGACTCCAGCAATACATGGAGCGAGAGTTGCCAGATGTTCAAGCTGGGTTTAGAAAAGGCAGAGGAACGAGAGACCAGATTGCCAATATCCGCTGGATAATGGAGAAAGGCAGGGAGTTTCAGAAAAACATCTATTTCTGCTTCATTGACTATTCTAAAGCCTTTGACTGTGTGGATCATAATAAATTGTGGCAAGTTCTTGGTGGGATGGGCATACCAAGCCACCTTGTCTCTCTCCTGAGGAATCTGTACAAGGACCAAGTAGCAACACTCAGAACTGACCACGGAACAACAGACTGGTTCAAGATTGGGAAAGGCGTACGGCAAGGCTGCATACTCTCACCCAACCTTTTTAACTTGTATGCAGAACACATCATGCGATGTGCGGGGCTGGGGTGAAAATTGCTGGAAGAAACATTAACAACCTCAGATATGCAAATGACACCACTCTGATGGCCGAAAGAGAGGAGGAGCTGAGGAGCCTTCTAATCAAGGTGAAAGAAGAAAGCGCAAAAGCCGGGTTGCAGCTAAACGTCAAAAAAACCAAGATTATGGCAACAAGAATGATTGACAACTGGAAATAGAGGGAGAAACCGTGGAGGCCGTGACAGACTTTGTGTTTCTAGGTGCAAAGATTACTGCAGATGCAGACTGTGGCCAGGAAATCAGAAGACGCTTACTCTTGGGAGGAGAGCAATGTCCAATCTCGATAAAATAGTAAAGAGTAGAGACATCAGACTGGCAACAAAGATCCGCCTAGTCAAAGCCATGGTATTCCCTGTAGTCACCTACGGATGTGAGAGCTGGACCTTAGGGAAGGCTGAGCGAAGGAAGATAGATGCTTTTGAACTGTGGTGTTGGAGGAAAGTTTTGAGAGTGCCTTGGACTGCGAGAAGATCCAACCAGTCCATCCTCCAGGAAATAAAGCCTGACTGCTCATTGGAGGGAAGGATACTAGAGACAAAGTTGAAGTGCTTTGGCCACATCATGAGGAGACAGCAAAGCCTAGAGAAGACAATTATGCTGGGGAAAGTGGAAGGCAAAAGGAAGAGGGGCCGACCAAGGGCAAGATGGATGGATGGCATCCTTGAAGTGACTGGACTGACCTTGAAGGAGCTGGGGGTGGTGACGGCCAACAGGGAGCTCTGGCGTGGGCTGGTCCATGAGGTCATGAAGAGTCGGAGACGACTGAACGAATGAACAACAACAGTGATTTTTTGAATTCGTTTCCAAACATTTATTTATTTATTATGAATTTATTTCCACACATCATACCAGAAGGGACTTACAGTTTCTCAAGTTGCTCCTGACATTTAAAAAAAAGTTGTAAAGAGTAACATGTGAGCTAACTCTACAGATACACATGCTCTGTCCACTGGTGCCAAGCCACAGAAAACATCTGCGGCGCTAAATCATACAAGTCAGAGCTCAGTCAAATTGTGCTCTTCACATAGGTATGAACCAGTTCTTCTTGAGATATGCACATACATACATCTGTGCAACCATTTTTACTATAACCTATTTCCCATTCTCTTTCAGTCTAAGCTCAACAAGAAGAATCTAGACCCAAATATCTGGGAAACAGGAATGATTGTTACTGGCAGCCTCATTGGCAAGTTGTGTCAAATGAAACTGTGTGGTTTGCAGGTGAGTAGACAAGTCTCCTTTTATTTCTGCTCCTTCCCTGGTATCCTTTCACTCTCTATCATTATAGCACCAGGGAACTCATCACATTGTGATATACTCCATTTCTGAAACTCTTTGAATGTGATTCTTAGAGTCCTCTGAAACTCTTTGAATGTGATTCTTAGAGTCCTCTGAAACTCTTTGAATGTGATTCTTAGAGTCCTCAAGTTAAACATGAGCCAACAATGTGATGCGGCGGCAAAAAAAGCCAATGGGATTTTGGCCTACATAAATAAGAGTATAGTGTCTAGATCTAGGGAAGTCATGCTACCCCTCTATTCTGCCTTGGTTAGACCACACCTGGAATACGGTGTCTAATTCTGGGATGTTGACACGCTGGGATGTGTCCAGAGGAAGGTGACTAAAATGATCAAGGGGAACAAGCCCTATGATGAGCGGCTTAAAGACCTGGTCATGTTTAGCCTTCAAAAGAGAAGGCTGAGAGGAGACATGATGAGGGCCATGTATAAATATGTGAGGGGATGTCATAGGCAGATCTGGCCAAAGTGGTCCACGCCTTAGTCACCTCTAGACTGGATTACTGCAATGCACTCTACGTGGGGCTGCCCTTTAAAATGGCCCAGAAATTCCAGATGATCCAACAGGCGGCAGCCAGGTTGTTAACTGGGGCTCCTTACAGGGAGTGGTCAACCCTCCTGTTTAAGGAGCTCCACTGGCTGCCATTCATTTACCAGACCCAATTCAAGGTCCAGGTTCTTACCTACAAAGCCCTGAACGGTTTGGGACCCGCCTACCTGCATGACTGCATCTCCATATACAAACCCACACAATCCCTTCGATCATCCGGAGAGGCCCTGCTCTCGATCCCACCAGCATCACAGGCACGATTGGTGGGGACGAGAGAGAGGGCCTTTTCGGTGGTGGCCCCTCGACTCTGGAACTCACTCCCTAAAAACATCAGACAGGCCCCAACTCTGGCAGTCTTCAGGAGGAGCTTGAAGACGTGGCTGTTCCAGTGTGCCTTCCCGGAATAATGATCCCATAGCACTTTGTCCTCCAAAGCACTTTACATTTCTTTAGGTCTGCTCGTATGCCCTTCCACAAACACCACTATCACCTTTCGTCCATGTCCCAGCATTATTTCCAATTTTAATTTTACATTTGGCCTTCCCACTGTTTTTAATTGTGTGTTGTCTTATTGATAATGTTGTATATTTTATTGTCTATGTTATTATTATTATTATTATTATTATTATTGCTTGTATTGTTGTTTTATTGCTTGTATTGTTGTTTTATTGCTTGTATTGTTGTATTTGGGCTCGGCCTCATGTAAGCCGCACCGAGTCCCTGGAGAGATGGTAGCGGGGTACAAATAAAGTGTTGTTGTTGTTGTTGTTGTTGTTGTTGTTGTTGTTATTGGGAGGAGAGAGTAAGCTTGTTTTCCAATTCCCCCTTTTTCTTCTTCTTTTTTTCTTCCTCTTCACAAATTAAATAGGAAGTAAGGCTTCAAATCGAGACACTGGTGCAAAGCCTCAAAAGTACCAACAAAGTCTCCGAGAAAGTGATTTATCTGTTGTCCCTGAAGAGTGCTTTGATACCGTCGTCCATCCCTACCCTCCTGTATTATGCAGAAGAGGGATTTGCAGACGTTTCTGCCACAGCGCTATCCGCACTACAGAGGTACTCCACACAGTATATCTCAAATACGGTATGGGAATATTCTTGCTTCAAAAATAACTTTTACTTATCTTTTTTTTAAAAAAAAATAGAATCCTCCATGCACTACAGTAGTAACTGTGGCAGTTACATACCTATGTAGTAAATCCTGGCACAATGTGCCACCACCCAGTCCTCACTTCCTAGCCACAGTTGTAATCCAGTATTTAAATCAGCATGTTATACTAACCAATAGTTCTAATGTGACATTCTAGTTGTTTCTATGTGGGAAAGTGGGAAAAGATGCATTTTGAACATATGTACTTTTATGCTTTTTTGTTGCAATGTTCAAGTATGTTTTGTGCATGATTTTAACAACAGTGGCCCTCCATATGTATGGGTTCTGTACCCATAAACTTCCATGACTTCAATGTATTGTTGAAGGCTTTCATGGCCGGAATCACTGGGTTGTTGTAGGTTTTTTTGTGCTGTATGGCCATGGTCTAGAGGCATTCTCTCCTGACGTTTTGCCTGCATCTATGCAAGCATCCTCAGAGGTAGTGAAGTCTGTTGAAACTAGGAAAAAGGGGTTTATATATCTGACTGCATAGGAAAGCTGATGAGGAAACACAACATACAAACTATCTACAGACCCACCAAGAAAATCCAAGAAATGCTACGTTCAGCAAAGGACAAGAGGGATCCTCTCACCTCTGCAGGAGTCTACCGTGTACCATGCAGCTGTGGACAAGTCTACATAGGGACCACCAAACGCAGCATTGCCCAAACACGAATCAAGGAACATGAAAGGCACTGCAGACTACTTCAACCAGAGAAATCAGCTATAGCACATGAACCAACCTGGACACAGCATTTTATTTGAGAACACAGAAATGCTGGACCACTCTCACAACCACCATTTCAGACTACACAGAGAAACCATTGAAATACACAAGCATGTGGACAATTTCAACAGAAAGGAGGAAACCATGAAAATGAACAAAATCTGGCTACCAGTATTTAAAAACTCTAAAATTGCAACAGCACAACAACAGAGAGGAAGCAGGCAGGAACATCTAATTACCTCTCAACAAAAGTTTGCTCCAAGTATGCTAATCAAGGTGGTCAGTTGAAACATTCACACCCATCTCCAGCAGCCAAGAGTCCTTTGTCTCACCCTGGTCATTCCACAGATATATAAACCCCTTTTTCCTAGTTCCAACAGACCTCACTACCTCTGAGGATGCTTGCCATAGATGCAGGTGAAACATCAGGAGAGAATGCCTCTAGACCATGGCCATACAGCCCAGAAAAAACCTACAACAATTCAATGACTTCAATATGTTGTCTTTTTAATCCCAAAAGCAAACGTTGATTTCACCAATTTCTATAAGGGGTGTTGCACTCTAGGCAGGGAAGCCCTCTGACTTCAAACACCACACAGCTGAGTAAAAATGCAAGCAGTTTATTGAAGATATTTTAAAAGCAGTAGCAGTAAAAAAGCAATCCACAAAAATAGGTAAATCCAATTAGGTAGAAAGATAGATAGAAATAAATAATCCAGGAAATTAGTCCATCAGAGGTCATGAAAACAAATACTGAAACTTCCAAGGTAAAACCCCAAAACTTGAACAAGAATGAAACAAGGCACTTAGCACAGGAATCTTTCCAAGGCAAGGCTTCCAGAGACCTGGAACAACGTCTTGACTCAATTCCAACATTGCTTCATCTGGCTACAGATTTTGTATTTGGCACCTTTATTCCCTAGTCTACTCTATATCCCAAATGGCCAGGAATTGATTTCTTTTCAGCCTTGACTCTGTTATCAATCTCTTTCGCAATCTGGCAGAGCGCCTGAGAGTTTGGTTTGTTTGTCTGTGCTGACTGAAAGCATTTCTCCTATCTACTGGCTCATTAATTTCTGCAGCTTGCCCAGGTGCCAAGCTTTTCTCAGGCTCAAAGTCTTAGAAATTCTCTGGTAGCAATTCAGGCCTAGGGAATATACCATCAGCCCCAAACCCTTCAGGAACATTCCCATCAGAAAAATCACTTTGAACAGGAATCCCATTGTCATTCTCTGAATCTAGAGCAACCACATCATTAGAAACATGAACCTCATTGTCACTCCCAACATCAAGAGTACCTTGATCATTAGACACAACCATAGGCTGAACTCCAACAAGGGGCAGCATTTTATTCTGTGATTCTGCCCGTATAGTGTCTGTATCTAATAGATCGTAAACCAGGCCGGGGTATAGGGTGGCAACCTGTGCTGGACGGGGTTGCACTCCCCCTGAAGTCACAGGTCCGCAGTTTGGGGGTCCTCCTGGATTCTTCACTTACGTTTGAGACTCAGGCATCGGTGGTGGCCGGGAGGGCCTTTGCACAATTAAGACTCGTGCGCCAGCTGCGACTGTACCTCGGGAAGGCGGATCTGGCCAAAATGGTCCACGCCTTAGTCACCTCTAGACTGGATTACTGCAATGTACTCTACGTGGGGCTGCCCTTGAAAATGGCCCAGAAATTTCAGATGATCCAACGGGTGGCAGCCAGGTTGTTAACTGGGATGCCTTACAGGGAGCAGTCAACCCTCCTGTTCAAGGAGCCCCACTGGCTACCATTCATTTACCGGACCCAATTCAAGGTGCAAGTTCTTACCTACAAAGCCCTAAACAGTTTGGGACCCACCTACCTGCGTGACCGCATCTCTATATACGAACCCACACGATCCCTTCAATCATCCGGAGAGGCCCTACTCTCGATCCCACCAGCATCGCAGGTGCGATTGGTGGGGACGAGGGAGAGGGCTTTTTCGGTGGTGGCCCCTCGACTCTGGAACTCACTCCCTAAAGACATCAGACAGGCCCCAACGTTGGCAGTCTTTAGGAGGAGCTTGAAGACGTGGTTGTTCCAGTGTGCTTTCCCAGAATAATTGATTCCATAGCACTTTGTCCTCCAAAGCACTTTACATTTTTTACAAGTATGCCCTTCCACAAACGCCACTATCACCTTCTCATCCATGTCCCAGCATTACTTCCAATTTTAATTTACATTTGGCCTTCCGACTGTTTTAATTGTGTGTTGTCTTATTGATAATGTTGTATATTTTATTGTCTATGTTTTATTTTAATTTTTTTGTACTGTTGTCATTGCTTGTATTGTTGTATTCGGGCTCGGCCTCATGTAAGCCACACCGAGTCTCTTGGGGAGATGGTAGCGGAGTACAAATAAAGTGTTGTTATTATTATTATTATTATTATTATTATTATTATTATTATTATTTATATACAGTATTGGCACTTGAGCATCCATAGATTTTGGTGTCCATGGGGGATGGTGGTCTAGATCCAAACCCAAGTAAATACCAAGAGCTCACTACACACATAAATATATACTAATACCAGTGTTTTTTAAAAAATCCTAGCATGCTAAGTAGAAAGCTCTGTCTACGAATGATCTTCAGCTGAAGAGAAACTATGTACAAATCAATTTGCCAGATTTTTTTGTCATGCTATTCTGACACCAGGTTAAAATGGCAATGAAGCGCATTTTCCATCAAGTACGGAAGCCTTATCCCAAAACGTCAAGGCTGGCTGCTGCAGAAATCCTGTTGGACAATGATCCCACACCAATGGACTTCACCAATATCCTGCTGGCCACCCGAGAAATTGAACCAGAAATGTCAAGATTTTTACTGTCAAAAATTCAAGGCATTGTACACTCCCATAATCATCCAAACAGGTAGAAACCTTGTTCTACTTCATAATAAGAATTGTGGTCTTATCTAGTATTGTCTCCTGTGACTGATAGATAGCAGGTCTTCGAGAACCAAAAGTTATAATTTTTCCCATTCCCATAGATGCTTATTTATTTATTTATTTATTTATTTATTTGCAGTATTTATATTCCACCCTTCTCACCCCGCAGGGACTCAGGGCAGGTTACAATGCACATATACAGGGTGCAGCAGCATAACTTCCTTTTTTCAAAACTTAATAAAACCCATTGTTTGAATCAGAATTTTTTTTTTCATAATGTAGGCGCATACCTAACGTTTTGTTTTATGTAGTTTTGAAGATCAAATTAGGTAGGTGACGTCCCCCATTCTCCATACACTGAGTATTATTTATTTTATTTATTTACTTTACTTATATATTGCTGTTCTCAGCCCGAAGGCGACTCACAGCGGTTCACAACAAATAAGAACAGCAAAAATTCAATGCTACAGTGTAAAAACAGTTAACAACCTAACATATTACATAATTAATAAACAATTACTACAATAACCATTCACTATTCACTATCATCTCATCATCAAAAACATGATCCAGATTCGTCATCCATTATTCCGTTCCAATGTTCATTAACCAATCATTGCACTAATTATTCGAACGCCTGCTCAAACAGCTAGGTCTTCACTTTCCTGTGGAATACCATTAGAGATGGTGCTAGTCTAATGTCCGTAGGAAGGGCGTTCCACAGCCGAGGAGCCACCATCGAGAAGGCCCTATCTCTCGTCCCCGCCAGCTGATTTCTGGCGTTTGTCATGATTCTTGCCAGCATAGCAGGCATTATGTTGGCAATTTCTTCTTGGATGTCGGTCTTCAAATCTTGTATGGGGCTTTTTGAAATCCCGTGTTTATGTGAACTGTCCAAGGACCCTACAAGATTTGAAGAATTGCCTGAAAAATGGGCCATAACAGCAGGAGAAACCAAACTACACTTGCAAAACAAAGTTCTCTCTCTTTGTTTTTAAGAGTATAGCCTATTTTCTACATCAGGGAGAGAGAACTGTATCTACTTCTATTCCTTAAAATGCTGGTAAGAATACTATTCAGAACGCCAGCTCAGATTGAATATGTATATAAATTGGTCTCACATGTAGGTACAACTACTCCATGTGCCATCTTTTCACTTCATATTAACATTTCTCTGTCCTTTCCCGATCCCAGACAGGTTATCAAAGATGTACTGAAAGATCCACAGATAAATAATTACTATTTCTTCTCAACTAACCTTGGCAGCTCCATCTCTTTCTTGAGAACACTGGCAGGTAAGTACCAAAAAAATATCTTCCCTCCAAATAAGTGAAATAAACAGTGCCCTTTTATTTAAAGAGTTTTTCATTCTGAAATGAGGAAAATGGAGTATTAGAATATCTGATGCTTGAAGACAAGAGTTCAAAAAATAAGGTCTAATTTTACAACCATAGGATAATAATTCAGGGATGCACCTGGGTGCGCATAGGGGGCAATGGTGGCTGGCAGTTGCTGTGCCAGTTGTATGGTCTCTATCCAAGTTTTAAAGGAGTTATCCATGGTTCTGAAATCTATTCATTCAATTGGTTCAGCACCTTGGATTCGTTCTATAGGTTCAACACACTGATGATTGTGCCACCACTGCTCAAGCAGGGAGTGTGCAGAAGTTATTGATACTGTGTATATGTTTAACTGTTAGAATATATTCGTGTTGGTAACAGTAGCTGAAGCTAGAGCTAACTGGTTGTATCCACAGTGGCGTTGCCAAGGAGACCAGGCAGGAGAGAGTGAGAAGTGGGCGGAGCCTAGCAAGAGAAGGTTATCTGTGTCTTTGAAAAGAAGCAGTTCAGTTGGGAGTTAGTTGTCGGAGTTAGCAGTTGAGAGAGGAGAGTGGAGAGTGAAGAAGCAGGGTGTGTGAATAGCCAGAGGTTTCTTCAGTCTAGGAAGGCTGAAGGGGGAAACCTAATTAGTTTCATTAGTCAGAGAGGACTAAGGGAAGCTTGTTTAGATCACTAGTTAGGAAAGAACTAGAGATCTAGGATTTGATCAAGAAGGATCAAATTAGAAGGCTATTCACCTCAGGAAACATTGTTTAAGAAAGTGCTTCACCACAGTAAAAGTCAATCACAAGTTGTGACATCGAGAAGAGAGAACTGTATTGCAAACCAAGTTACATTCCAAGTTCTATAAGTTATTCAAAGTAATTCCAAGTTATTTATCAGCCTGCAACCATAAGCTTTGTACAAAATAAACTTATTAACTTTTGTTGAAGATCGTGTCATCTCCATTTATCTGCGTCTGGGAAGCCAGTTCTCATCGGCAATACCTCACGTTGGTGGCAGTTACCTTAATTACATCCATAATCATCCTGTATAGTTGGTGGCAGAAGTTAAGAGCAGACAGTACAATTGGTGACAGCGGGTGGGTTCTTTAAAGTTAAAAACCCTATACCCTGTCTGTTGTTGGAATTGCAGCACCTTAGCAATTAGCACAATTGTACAACTGGTGCGTGCAGACCTCGCAAATTTGGTGCCAGAGGTGGTATAGACTTCGCAAATTGGTGGCAGTAATTTTACGCATACCTTCCCAGGAGCTTTGAAAAGATTGAACAGAAACTCTCCAAAGCTCAAGATGCTCTTACTGCCTACTACAGGGGTAAAACAGCTGACTCCTCATCCATCTAAAGTGCAGACAAAATGCATTCATCTTAAAAGCAGACAAGCATCTCGGGCTTTAAGGATTGCCTGTTAGCTTCCGAGCACAATTCTAAGTGCTGGTTTTGGCATATAAAGGCCCAGTTTACCTGTCCTAATGTATCTCCCGCTACGAGCCACCTAGGACCTTAAGATCATCAGGGGAGGCCCTGCTCTCATCCCCCCACTATCGCAATCACACTTGGTGGGGACGAGAGACAGGGCCTTCTCCATGGTAGCCCCTCGGCTATGGAATTCCCTCCCAAACGAAATCAGATCTGCTCCATCTCTCCTGTACTTCTGAAAAAAAAGTGAAATCCGGGCTGTGGGATCATAAAACTCATAAAACTCATAAAACAATTTACTTTTTACAACTTCCCGAGAGTTCCTTCCACAGATTAAAATCTGAAAAAGACCTCCTCCTGGAGGGGGATTGGACTGGATGGCCCTTGTGGTCTCCAAATCTATCAGCCTATCTATCTCACCTCTTGTTCTTCTCAAACATACTGCTCTTTAGTTAAATCTGAAGTTCTTTGAAGTCAATCCATGTGATGTGCCATAGTACAGGATCCTCAGCATTTTGTAATATGAAACGGTTTATTTAGGAAAACATTTTTTAAAAATATTTTTGTTGTAAGTATTCTTGTTACTTCTTCACATGGACTTCTTCCTCCTCCTTTCCAGCCCCCCACCCGATCACAATATCAATCTCTCTCTCTTTTTCTATTTTCAGTTACTAGTGACTCGCTCTCTACCTTTGGTCTGGGGTTGCTGTTCTCTGATGCAGGTCTCCTAAGAAAGAGCACCACCAGTTTCAATATCCTTAGTCATGGCCACCAGCTCCAAGCAGCTCAGGTATTTATTTTATTTTTTAAAGATTGAATTAAGTTTTATAATAATACAACGAAAGAGTGAGAACAATAAAAAAAATAGGAAAGAGGACAAAAAAAGAGAGAAAAGAGAGAAAAACTTCCTGACTGTGAGAGCCGTTCATAATTGGAACTCTCTGCCCCGGAGTATGGTGGAGACTCTTTCTTTGGAAGCTTTTAAACAGGGGCTGGATGGCCATCTGTCAGGGGTGATTTGAATGCAATATTCCTGCTTCTTGGCAGGGGGTTGGACTGGATGGCCCATGAGGTCTCTTCCAACTCTTTGATTCTATGATTCTATGATTCTAGAGACAGAGAGAGATACGAGTAAAGAGAAAAAGAAGGTAAAAATACTACAAAAATTAAAAATACTACAAAAATAAAATAAAAATTGACTTCCATTCCATCTTCTTGGTTAAAGTCTTTAATTTATCAAAATCAGTAAATAAAAATGTCTATTGTAGCCTCTGTTTTTCGGAGCTCTCCAGATAGCTATTGAAAAGATCCCAATTTGTTCTTTTAAAAGTATTCCCAATATTCTTTTTCAGCAAAAAAAAAGTCAGTTCATCCATATCTTTTATCTCCCTCATTTTATCTAACCACCTGTCAATGGGCGGATTTAATTCTTGTTTCCATTCTCTCGCGAAAACAATTCTGGCGGCAGTCAAAATATATGTAAAGAGCTTGTCTTCTTCTTCTGCATCTGGGGAGAACAAACAGTGGAAGACATTGAACATTTCTTAATTGACTGTCCAGCATATACTGAACTGCGAGACAGATATTTACATCCAATATTATCCAACTGCAGGTCCCCCAACAGAAATTATATTCTGACATCCCTCTTGCAAGGGCAGGAAAGATCCAGCATAATCAGAGTAAGCCTTTTTATTCTGAAAGCTATTAAGAAAAGAGCAGATTTCCTGAAAGAAGAACCAGGAAAATAAGATTCTGACTATAAATAGAAGGTCAGCTGCTGTCCTCACCTTTTTGCCTTGTTTTTTACTTGTGTTTTATTTTGAAATGGTCATATGACTGATCAAATAAATAAATATTATTATTATTAAGATAGAGACCTTTTTTGAAAGTTAAATAGAAAAAGATTTATTTATAAAAACAGATAACTAACTACTTCTGAGAGGCACAAAACGCTTGACTTGTTACAAAAGTTCTACAGCTTGATGGTTGCTAGAATGAGTTTCTTCACTTAGTTACATACAGAGCTAATCAAACAGATCTAGCTGCTAGTAACAAAAATCCCTCACTCTACTTCAGATAAATAGTAATGAGTTTCTGACTAACCTATCCTAGGTAGTCCCCTGAGTTATCAGCTAACTCTTCCCAGAGTTCTTCCTGCTAACTAACTCAGTCTAGAGAGCTAATCTCTTGTGTTATCTCCCACAAGAAATCTGGTTGCTGTCTGACCTTTCTCCTGTCAGCTAATCAACCCTTTCTGACACAGACGCTCTCTCCCTGAAAACCCAGTTTCAAAAACACTTCTTCTCATGTCCCACCAGCTCCCAGTTTTCAACTCTCACAGAAGCTGAAATCTTTTCCCTCCTAAGACTTGGCTCTTCCCAACTGCTCTAGCCAATCCCAGGAGACCTCAAACTTCTCCCATCTTCTAGCTATCCTCACTCAAGATGGCTGCTTCCCTGGCTTACACTCTCAAAATGGAGGTTTGCCATACTTCTTTTCCAGCCTGCTAGGTAAGATTCACTACATATGGCTTTTCATTAACCTCAGCTGGCATAGTCCATGGTCAGAAATGATGGGAATTATAATCCTAAACCAGAGTGGAGAAGACTGTCCTTGTGTTTTCGTTCTCAAAGCTATTCAGAAGGATGGATAACCCTTTCTTCCTTTTCAAGGAAACACAGCAAGGAACCCCCTCCTTGTCTCCCTTTCCCTCTTCTAAAAATTTGTACTTAAAAAGGAAAGTGATCTCTTTTGTTAGAGAAAAGGATTTATGAAATGGTGATTTACCAATGAAGACGAAACAATACTTGTGCATCCTGCTGTCTGTTTTCTGTGTATTCCAGGTAGTCCTTGAAGCAAAAGGTTTTGAAGGCATACTGGGAGGAGGTGGCCTAGTGGAGGAGGAGGAGGATTTCATGGCTGGGATGTCTGCCATCTTGCTTGATGTTCAGTTGCGACCCATTGTGTTCTTTGAAGGATATGCAGACCTTATGTCAAAGTTCTTTTCGAGCACCGGGGAACCCACAAGTGTGGTCAAAGGGAATGTGCTACTGATGGATCATCAACAGGTATGACCTAGAAATGATTGCACAAGATGATGAGGAATCATCATGAGGGAAGCATATTTTGAACTTTTTTTGTGTCAGGAGTGACTTGAGAAACTGCAAGTCGCTTCTGGTGCGAGAGAATTGGCTGTCTGCAAGGTAGTTGCCCTGGGAATGCCAGGATGTTTTGATGTTTTACCATCCTTGTGGGAGGCTTCTCTCATGTCCCCGCATAGGAAGCCAGACCTGACAGAGGAAGCTCATCCATGCTCTCCCTGGATTTGAACCTGTGACCTGTTAGTCTTCAGTTCTGCCGGCACAAGGGTTTAACCCACTTCGCCACCAAGGGCCCCTATATTTGACTTACCCACTGGGTACAGGTCCATTCAAAGGATGTACAAACCTCAACATTCCTATACAGTTGTTGTCTAAAACTCCCATAACCCACTAGAATTATAATCCAATTCCTTTTCAGGAAACCATGTTGGAGAAGGTTGATCTCCTGATATTGGCTCTGTAATAATAATCTATATAAATAAAAATGTAATGTTCATTTGTGGGATTAACATAACTCAAAAATCACTGGATGAATTGCTGCCAAATTTGGCCACAAAACACCTACTAACTCAAGGAGTGACCATCACTCAAAAAATTGATTTTGTCATTTGGGAGTTGTAGTTGCTGGGATTTATAGTTTACTTACAATCAAAGAGCATTCTGTACACCGCCAATGATGGAATTGAACCAAACTTGGCACACAGGACTTCCATGACCAACAGAAAACACTAGAAGGGTTAAGTAATCTAGTTCAAAGCAGATAATCTGAATTTTTTATGGCAATGTAGAAGGGGCCCTAGAGAGATCCACAAACACTTCTGGTGAGGGGAATATTTTTAGAAGCATGGATAAGTGAAAATGTGGACATTGGATCCATTGAGAAGTGTACTGTAATTGCTTCCTTAAAACAAAATTACTCTAAATGCACAATTATCGGGTTCTATTATTCATGCCAAAGTCTAAGACTGGCTCCACACTGCCCTATATCCAAATATCAGATCCTAGATTATCTACTTTGAACTGGAATATATGAGTCTACACTGCCAGACAATCTGAGATGAACAGATAATCTGGAATCAGATCTTGGGATAAAAGGCTGTGTGGAAGGGGCCCAAGTGTCTGGATTTCACCGTCTTGGGACACACTATTTCTTATTTTAGAATCTAAAATTCTAATTTTAAACAGAGCCTGTTTTAGGTCTGAGGTTTGAAGAATGACTTGGCTATGGTTGTCCACACTCTGGTTGCATCCCGTATAGACTACTGCAATGCTCTCTATGTGGGGTTGCCTCTGAAGACTGCCTGGAAGCTGCAATTAGTCCAACGCTCGGCAGCCAAGTTACTCACGGGAGCGGGATACAGGGAGCGCACAACTCCCTTGTTGTGCCAGCTCTACTGGCTGCCAATTAGCTTCCAAGCACAATTCAAAGTGCTGGTTTTAACCTACAAAACCCTTTATAGTTCTAGCCCTGTCCGAATGTATTATCTCCTGTGAACCATCAAGGACGTTAAGATCTTCCAGAGAGGCCCTACTCTCAGTCCTGTCACCCTTGCAGTCGCGTTTGGTGGGGACGAGAGACAGGGCCTTCTCTATGGTGGCTCCCTGGCTATGGAACTCTCTCCTGAATGAAATTAGAACTGCCCCCTCCCTCCTGACATTTAGGAAGCAAGTGAAGTCTTGGTTGTGGAACAAGACATTTGTAGAGTGATGGCTGAAACCGGTAATTGACTAAGGTATTGACCACAATGTGCGGATTGAGTTGGACGTTGTTTTTATCCTGGCAAATGTTTTAGTATGCTTTTTATCTGATATGTATTTTTAACATTTATATATGATGTTTTAAAGGTTTGTTTGTGAGCACTGAATCCTTGCTGTTAGCCGGTCTGAGTCCCTCTACGACAGCGTTTCTCAACCTGGGGGTTGGGACCCCTGGGGGGATCGCGTGGGGGTGTCAGAGGGGTCAGTCACCAAAGACCATGAGAAAACAGTATTTTCTGTTGGTCATGGGGGTTCTGTGTGGGACGTTTGGCCCAATTCTGTCGGTGGGGTTCAGAGTGCTCTTTGATTGTAGGTAAACTATAAATCCCAGCAACTACAACTCCCAAATGTCAATGTCTATTTCCCTCAAACTCCACCAGTGTTCACATTTGCGCATATTGAGTTTTCATGCCAAGTTTGGTCCAGATCTATCATTTTTTGAGTCCACAGTGCTCTCTGGATATAGTTGAACTACAACTCCAAATTGGGAGGGATAGCCAATACTCCAGAGGACAGGAGCAGGATTCAAAACGATCTTGACAGAGTAGAGAGATGGGCCAAAACTAACAAAATGAAGTTCAACAGTGACAAATGCAAGATACTCCACTTTGGCAGGAAAAACGAAATGCAAAGATACAGAATGGGGGACAATGCCTGGCTCGAGATCAGTACGTGTGAAAAAGATCTTGGAGTCCTCGTGGACAACAAGTTAAACATGAGCCAACAATGTGATGTGGCGGCAAAAAAAGCCAATGGGATTTTGGCCTGCATCAATAGGAGCATAGTGTCTAGATCTAAGGAAGTAATGCTACCCCGCTATTCTGCTTTGGTTAGACCACATCTGGAATATTGTGTCCAATTCTGGGCACCACAATTCAAGAGAGATATTGACAAGCTGGAATGTGTCCAGAGGAGGGCGACTAAAATGATCAAGGTCTGGAGAACAAGCCCTATGAGGAGCAGCTTAAAGAGCTGGGCATGTTTAGCCTGAAGAAGAGAAGGCTGAGAGGAGATATGATAGCCATGTATAAATATGTGAGAGGAAGCCACAGGGAGGAGGGAGCAAGCTTGTTTTCTGCTTCCTTGGAGACTAGGACGCGGAACAATGGCTTCAAACTACAAGAAAGGAGATTCCATCTGAACATGAGGAAGAACTTCCTGACTGTGAGAGCTGTTCAGCAGTGGAAGCCTCTGCCCCGGAGTGTGGTGGAGGCTCCTTCTTTGGAAGCTTTTAAACAGAGGCTGGATGGCCATCTGTCAGGGGTGATTTGAATGCAATATTCCTGCTTCTTGGCAGGGGGTTGGACTGGATGGCCCATGAGGTCTCTTCCAACTCTTTGATTCTATGATTCTATGATTCAAGGTCAATGCCCATCAAACCTCTCCAGTCTTGTCTGTTGGTCATGGGAGTTCTGTGTGTCAAGTTTGGTTCCATCCCATCATTGGTGGAGTTCAGGATGTTCTTTGATTGTAGGTGAACTATAAATCCCAGCAACTACAACTCTCAAATGACAAAATCAATACCTTCCCCCAACCCCACCAGTATTCAAATTTGGCTGTATTGGGTATTTGTGCCAAATTTTGTCCAGTGAATGAAAATACATCCTGCAAATCAGATGTTTACATGACGATTCATAACAGTAGCAAAATGACAGATATGAAGTAGCAAGGAAAGTAATGTTATGGTTGGGGGTCACCACAACACGAGGAACTGTATTAAGGGGTCGTGGCATTAGAAAGGTTGAGAACCACTGCTCTACGGAGGTAGAGAAGATCAGGATACAAAAGTTTTAAATAAATAAATAAATAAATAAATGTTGCCCCAACCTGGCGACCTTCAAATGTATTATTATGCATCCAAATCATCCCCAGCCAGTATGGAATCGCCCCAGTTGGAAATAATAGAAGTTGTATTACAACATACCTTGAAAGCAGCAGGGGAAGACTGGTTTGGAAAAAGGCAAGTAAGGAATGAAAATAGAACTGTGATTTTATGAGAACAATAAACAATGACAGCCTCCTTCAGTCTAGTCTTTAAATAATAAGACGTGACATAGGAAAAAATTTATCTGACGTATAGACTTACGCATTGAACTTAGAGGGACTAATTTCAGAACAGATACAAGTAAGATTGGACTGCAAGTAACAAACTATTATCAGAATCATCTCAATATTGCTCTACTTCCTAGGCAATCCCACTTCAGTCCGGTTTGCAAAGTGTGATTACTCTTCAAGGAGGACTTGGATTAGATGTTTCATCTGATATCAATATGGATATATGGGAGCAAGAACTGAAGACAGGCATTAAAACAAGGTAAGTGCTTCTGTTTCCCTCTCCAGTACAAAAATGTCACACAACCTAAAAGCATCTCTAGACAGGCAAGGTCTTATAATATAGGCCTCTTCTACACTGTCATATAATAATAATAATAATAATAATAATAATAATAATAATAATAATAATAATATTTTTTGTCGTGTCAGGAGCAAGTCGCTTCTGGTGTGAGAGAATTGGCCGTCTGCAAGGACGTTGCCCAGGGGATGCCTGGATGATTTGATGTGGGAGGCTTCTCTCATGTCCCCTCATGAAGAGCTGGAGCTGATAGAGGGAGCTCATCCGCCTCTCCCCGGATTCGAACCTGCGACCTGTCGGTCTTCAGTCCTGCCGGCACAGGGGTTTAACCCACTGCGCCACCGGGGGCTCCAAATAATAATAATAATAATAATAATAATAATAATAATAATAATAATCTTTATTTATACCCCGCCACCATCTCCCCAACGGGGACTCAAGGCGGCTTACATGAGGCCAAGCCCGAACAACAAATTACAATACAAAAAAATGCAAAATTACAGTAAAATAAACAACATAACATTAAAGTAAAAAAATCAAAGCATATAAGCAATATACATAGAACATAAAAACCAAACAAAAAGACAAAGAGCAGGCCGCATGTACATAAAGTGATTTAAAAACTCCGGGTGAGATAAAGGGGTAAAACTAATTGTAGGGAGAACTCATGGAGAGACGGGATAATAAACAAACCTACATACAAGGGGACGGGGGGAGAAACTCCTGGGACAAGAACGCTGAGGGAGCAATAGCATGAAGTTATGTGAACTACTCTCCGAAGGCGCAGATAATCCACATCATCTGCTTTGAACTGGATTATATGAGTCTACACTGCCATTTAATTCAGTTCAAAGCAAATAATCTGGATTTTATATGGCTGTTTGGAAGGGGCCTGGGAAGCCCATAACAAGCATGTTAAGGAGTACTTGTTCTGCTGCACCTAATATTCAGAGCTAGGCTGCCTCTCATCCTGGGGGTGGCATCAGGATCAGGAACCAGTTATATGCCCAAGCTCTGCTTAAATTATAGAGATTTACTCAGACATCAACCATCTCAAAACAGAAGCTCTCCGAAGCTCTAGGTGACCTTACTGCCTATTACAGGGAAAACCAGCTGATCCCTAACCCATCTAAAACACAAACATGTGCTTTTTATCTCAAGAACAGGCAAGCATCTCGAGTTCTGAGGATTACCTGGGAAGGAATCCCACTGGAGCATTGCTTTTCACTGTCTACAAATGTTCAGTTTTTCTCAGTTGCGGAAACGAAATGTGCCGTTTCTTAATAAATTTAACATGCTGAATTCAAATATAATAATTAAATGTGTTAATTGGCTCTGGTTTTTATGCAACAGCTATTTCAATTTTCTCCACAATAGGTAATTCGTTAATATTATGATAATGCGCCTAACCTTACTGCATGTATATAAAATATTTACTAAATTTTAGTCAAATTATATTGCCAATAGTTTATACATGAGAAATATTTATTTAATTAGTCTATTGTTTATGTTTGTGCAGCAAGAAACTATATTAGTAGGCCTAATGCAGTTGAAAAGTCTGAAAGTTTAAATGTCGCTTTAATCGTGACTTTAGTTTATATCCTGTTTGCTTCTCTTGACTTTTCTTTTGTATTCAAGGAAAGGATTGTCTCTTACAATGCTCCAGCAGTAGTCTGACAGCATTGACGGAGTCCATTTGCCTTGATATCTTTTTTCCATAGTGCTTTATTTACACACGTGCGAGGCATAACTACAGTAAAAAGAACAATGTAAAACGATGTTTAACGATACTGTCTCAGTCTTCAACTGACTGACCCTCACCGTTCAAAAGTCTGGCTTTCTGGCTTTTGCACTGCGTCATCAAACTTTCTAGAATATTCTAGAATCTTCCATAGTGTAAGTCACAACATGCATTTTTTCAACCATACGTGATCACATGATTGCTTATATCATAAAAACTAGAGCCAATATACATTTTTAAATGTCATTTTCGTTTTCAGCACCCCAAAATCATAAAAGAACAGCTATTTTCAGACCCGCAACTTTCTAGAATCTTCCATAGTGTAAGTCGCAACATGCATTTTTTCAACCATACGTGATCACGTGATTGCTTATATCATAAAAACTAGAGCCAATATACACTTTTAAATGTCATTTTCATTTTCAGCACCCCAAAATCATAAAAGAACAACTATTTTCAGGCCCGCAATTTTTCTCCATTGAACAGTGATTATTTCATTATTGGCAATTTTTATGACAGAACCAATTAGGAACTGCCATTTATAATGAAATTTTGAGAGTTTTGTTAGAGTTCTGAAATTTTCACCATCAGAACTTTAGTTTTGTAAGTAATTTAGAACCATGCATTGAACAGGCCTAGTAATTACAGTATTACAGCACATCATCATTACAGTGTGTCCACCATTGCACTATATGACAGTAACACAGAAAAAGAAACAGACCACACCATTCTGCAACTCTTTTTATATCTTTCTCCTGTGAAAAACAAGTGTTTATTGCGCTAATCAGTTGTGTCAGGTTGGCTTGTTCAAAAACCTTTATTTCATTTTGAAAAATTCAGTCACAATGTTGCTATTATGCATAACATCATTGTATTGTTACACCATTACCTTGGAGCCCCCGGTGGCGCAATAGGTTAAATCCTTGACCAAATCCAGGGAGAGCAGGTTGACCTCCCTCTGTCAGCTCTAGCTCCCCATGCGGGGATATGAGAGAAGCCTCCCACAAGATTGGTAAAATACCAAAACATCTGGGTGTCCAAAAAGCTACAGACCAATCTCCCTGTTGTGCCACCTCTACAAAGTTCTGGAGAGACTTACTTTGCATAGAATTATGGAAAAAATAGACCCCTGTCTGATCCCACAGCAAGCTGGCTTCAGGAAAGGCAAAAGCTGCACATCACAAGTGCTGAACCTGACTCAGCACATAGAAGATGGCTTTGAAAGGCAGCAGATCACAGGAGCTGTCTTCATAGACCTGTCAGCAGCCTATGATACTGTGAACCACTGCCTCCTCCTGAGAAAAATGTATAATATCACAAAGGACTACCACCTCACCCGCCTCATAGGAAACCTGCTACAAAACAGGAGCTTTTTTGTTGAGTTCCAGGGCCAGAGAAGCAGATGGCGGAAACAGAAGAACAGCCTGCCTCAGGGGAGCGTGCTTGCTCCATCCATGTTCAACATCTACACAAATGACCAGCCACTGCCAGAAGGGACAGAGAGTTCATCTATGCTGATGATCGTGCCATTACCGCTCAAGCAGGGAGCTTTGAGATGGTAGAACAGAAGCTTTCCAAAGCTCTAGGTGCTCTTACTGCCTATTACAGGGAAAACCAGCTGATCCCCAACCCATCTAAAACACAGACATGTGCCTTTCATCTCAAGAACAGAGAAGCATCCCGAGCTCTGAAGATCACCTGGGAAGGAATCCCACTGGAGCATTGCAGCGCACCCAAATACCTGGGAGTCACTCTGGATCGTGCTCTTACCTACAAGAAGCACTGCCTGAACATCAAGCAAAAAGTGGGTGCTAGAAACAATATCATACGAAAGCTGACTGGCACAACCTGGGGATCACAACCAGATACAGTGAAGACATCTGCCCTTGCACTATGCTACTCTGCTGCTGAGTACGCATGCCCAGTGTGGAACACATCTCACCACACTAAAACACCACACTTAATGAGACATGCCGCATTATCACAGGGTGTCTGCGCCCTACACTACTGGAGAAATTACACTGCTTAGCCGGTATTGCACCACCTGACATCCGCCGGGAAGTTGCAGCCAATAGTGAAAGGACCAAGGCAGAGACATCTCCAGCTCATCCCTTGTTTGGGTATCAGCCAGCACGTCAACGACTTAAATCAAGAAATAGTTTTCTTAGATCTACAGAGACACTCGCTGGAACACCTCAGCAAGCAAGAGTTCAAAAGTGGCAGGCTCAAACCCAGCACCTCAATCCGTGGGTGATACCAGATGAGAGACTCCCCCCTGGGCACACAGAAGACTGGGCGACTTGGAAGGCGCTGAACAGACTGCACTCTGGCACCATGAGATGCAGAGCCAATCTTAAGAAATGGGGCTACGATGTGGAATCCACGACATGCGAGTGTGGAGAAGAGCAAACCACTGACCACCTGCTGCAATGCAACCTGAGCCCTGCCACATGCACAATGGAGGACCTTCTTGCGGCAACACCAGAGGCACTCCAAGTGGCCAGATACTGGTCAAAGGACATTTAATCAGCTATCAAGTTTGCAAAATTTGTGTTTTTTTATCTGTTTGTTTGTTTTGTTCTGTTAGAAACATAATACAAATGTTCTGGTTGCAAATGACACAATAAATAAATAAATAAATAAATAAATAAATCATTGTATTGTTACACCATTACCTTGGAGCCCCCGGTGGCGCAATAGGTTAAATCCTTGACCAAATCCAGGGAGAGCAGGTTGAGCTCCCTCTGTCAGCTCTAGCTCCCCATGCGGGGACATGAGAGAAGCCTCCCACAAGATTGGTAAAATACCAAAACATCTGGGTGTCCCCTGGGCAACGTCCTTGCAGACAGCCAATTCTCTCACACCAGAAGTGACTTGCGGTTTCTCAAGTCACCCCTGACATGAAAAAAATACAAATAAATACAAATAATTTTTTAAAAGTAAACACCACATGGCAACACTGGCATGTGGTAGTTTAAGAAGGCCATGAAGAAATCTTTGAAAAACACCCCGATGCAGTAAACACATATGAATAGTAACTTTAAATGGTTAATGGGTTAGGATAGCAATTGTTTTTTGTTTTTGTTTTGTTTTGTTTTGGGGGTTTTTTTGGCCACAATGGGGAACAGAATGATAGACTAGATAGCCTTTTCTTCTAATCCAGTTGAGCTTTCTTTATATTCTTGTGGTGAAACATGGTACCAACCAACCCTAAAAATTAAATCACTTACTTAGGTGATCCCTCATTTTCCGAGGATGATTGTCTTCCAACATTCTTGTGGGTCTGTATGTGGCTGTGGAGCCCTATTCTTGCTCTGCATCTTCTTCTGCAGTAAGGGCATTGGTTTCCAGGTGGGAGGCGGTCCCGGTCGGGGTTAGCTTGACGTGCCTTCCTCTTGGCATGCTAATCCCTTTCGCCCTCCATTCGTGCCACCTCAAATTCTGCAGCACTGCTGGTCACAGCTGACCTCCAGCTGGAGCGGTCGAGGGCCAGGGCTTCCCAGTTCTCAGTGTCTATGCCAGAGTTTTTAAGGTTGGCTTTGAGCCCATCTTTAAATCTCTTTTCCTGCCCTCCAACATTCCGTTTTCCATTCTTGAGTTCGGAGTAGAGCAACTGCTTTGGGAGACGGTGGTTGGGCATCCGGACAACGTGGCCGGTCCAGCGGAGTTGGTGGCGGAGGACCATCACTTCAATGCTGGTGGTCTTTGCTTCTTCCAGCACACTGACGTTTGTCTGCCTGTCTTCCCAAGAGATTTGCAGGATTTTCCGGAGGCAGCGCTGATGGAATCGTTCCAGGAGTTGCATGTGACGTCTGTAGACAGTCCACGTTTCGCAGGCATATAGCAGGGTTGGGAGGACAATAGCTTTATAAACAAGCACCTTGGTATCCCTACGGATGTCCCGGTCCTCAAACACTCTCTGCTTCATTCGGAAAAATGCTGCGCTTGCAGAGCTCAGGCGGTGTTGTATTTCGGTGTCGATGTTGACTTTGGTGGAGAGGTGGCTCCCAAGGTAGCGGAAATGATCAACATTTTCTAATGTTACACCATTAAGCTGTATCACTGGCATTGGAGAGGGGATGGCTGTATCTCTGGCATTGGAGAGTGGTTTTTTCAATGTTCAATGACAAGCCGAGCTTCTCGTATGCTTCTGCAAAGGTGTTTAGAGTGGCTTGTAGATCTTCTTCTGAATGCGCACAGACGACGTTGTCATCAGCATACTGGAGTTCTATAACAGATGTTGTAACCTTGGTTTTGGCTTTCAGTCTGCTGAGGTTGAATAGCTTGCCATCTGTCCGATAGATGATTTCCACTCCGGTGGGAAGCTTCCCATCAACAAGGTGAAGTATCATAGTGATGAAGATGGAGAATAACCTTTGCTAATAAAAGGGCACATTTTTTTAAAAAAAATACATTGTTGTTGTTTTATTTTTCTTAACAATTACAGGGGTGCCCTGACCATTGATTTCCAAACGGAATTGGATGCCCCGTTCTTTCAAGCCAGTATCAAAAGCCAAACAGAGGCAGAAATGGCCACCAATTTTAATACTGCTACAAAACTTTCTGACAATCCAGTGCTCATGTGTCTGCAACTAACAGAGGAACAAGTCTCTTTCAGGTAAGCTGTTGATTTCAGGCCAACACATTTCATAGCAGTCAGATCCAAACTAACTGTAGTTTAAAATCCTCCTAAGAATGCCATTACAGCTAACTTTCTCTTTGGTCTTAGTGTTAGTAGTCTCATACCACAGTGACATGTGGCCAAGTATGACTGCAATGCTGGTTCAAGCATGTATGTTCATCACATTGATCACAACTTTAAACTTAACCATCGTCACAGATCCAACATACTTGGAGGCTGGCATCCTATTAAAGACATCTCTTGTTGTGTGCCTTCAAATAATTTCTGACTTACGATATCACTAAGATGAACCTATCATGTGGTTTTCTGGCGTTGAGTGTCTGACTTCCCCAAGGTCACTCAGTGGGTTTCCATTGCTAAGCGGGGAATCAAAACCTGGTCTCAAGTCTCAAGGGTCTGGAGAACAAGCCCTATGAGAAGCGGCTTAAGGAGCTGGGCATGTTTAGCCTGAAGAAGAGAAGGCTGAGAGGAGATATGATAGCCATGTATAAATATGTGAGAGGAAGCCACAGGGAGGAGGGAGCAAGCTTGTTTTCTGCTTCCCTGGAGACTAGCACGCGGAACAAATGGCTTCAAACTACAAGAGAGGAGATTCCATCTGAACATGAGGAAGAACTTCCTGACTGTGAGAGCCGTTCAGCAGTGGAACTCTCTGCCCCGGAGTGTGGTGGAGGCTCCTTCTTTGGAAGCTTTTAAGCAGGGGCTGGATGGCCATCTGTCAGGGGTGATTTGAATGCAATATTCCTGCTTCTTGGCAGGGGGTTGGACTGGATGGCCCATGAGGTCTCTTCCAACTCTTTGATTCTATGATTCTAATCCTATTCCAACACTGGAGTATAACAGCTTTCAAAGTCAGCACCACACAATTAAGAAGGAAAGAACACGTTCAAACCAGGAACAGAAAATGTTTCTAATTTTGTTACATAATATCAAGAGAGCAAAACTCAGAGAAAATTGTAGATGTTGCCAATATGATAATTACAGAGACTGTAATGGGCTCTAAAGCCAGTATGATGTATGGTTTAAGCGTTTGGGTACAACTCTGGAAGCCAGGTTTTCAATCCTGCCTGAACATCAAGCAAAAAGTGGGTGCTAGAAACAACATCATACGAAAGCTGACTGGCACAACCTGGGGATCACAACCAGACACAGTGAAGACATCTGCCCTTGCGCTATGCTACCCTGCTGCTGAGTACGCATGCCCAGTGTGGAACACATCTCACCACACTAAAACAGTAGATGTGGCTCTTAATGAGACATGCTGCATTATCACAGGGTGTCTGCGCCCCACACTGGAGAAATTACACTGCTTAGCCGGTATTGCACCACCTGACATCCGCCGGGAAGTAGCAGCCAATAGTGAAAGGACCAAGGCAGAGACATCTCCAGCTCATCCCCTGTTTGGGTATCAGCCAGCACGTCAACGGCTGAAATCTAGAAAGAGTTTTCTCAGAACTACAGAGACACTCGCTGGAACACCTCAGCAAGCGAGAGTCCAAAAGTGGCAGGCCAAACCCAGCATCAATCCATGGGTGATATCAGATGAGAGACTCCCCCCTGGGCACACAGAAGACTGGGCGACTTGGAAGGCACTGAACAGACTGTGCTCTGGCACCACGAGATGCAGAGCCAATCTTAAGAAATGGGGCTACAGGGTGGATGCGCGCAACATGCAAGTGTGGAGAACAGTAAACCACTGACCACCTGATGCAATGCAACCTGAGCCCTGCCACATGCACGATGGAGGACATTCTTGCGGCAACACCAGAGGCACTCCAAGTGGCCAGATACTGGTCAAAGGACATTTAATCAGCTACCAAGTTTGCAAAATTTGTGTTTTTTTTCTGTTTGTTTGTTTTGTTCTGTTAGAAATGCAATACAATGTTCTGGTTGCGGATGACACGATAAATAAATAATCCTAGTTGGCTTTGGAAATCCTTTGTGTGACCTTGGGCAAGTCATTCTCATCCTCAGAGGAAGACAAAGCAAACCCCCTGAACAAATCTTGCAGAGAGAACCCTGTGACAGGTTCATCTTAGCTCACCATATCTCAGAAATGACTTGAAGGCACTTGAAGCCATACAACAGTGACAACAAATAGGGACTGTCAAAGACTTTCATCGCCAGAATCACTGGGTTGTTGTAGGTTTTTCAGGTTGTGTGGCCATGTTCTAGAAGCACGCTTCTAGAACATGATCATACAGCCTGAAAAACCTACCACAACTCAATGCCGTTATTGTTAACTGTCTTACAACAGTACATGACACTCGAGTGCAATATAAATTCAAATAAACCAGCAATCTATATAAATAAAAATGTAATGTTAGTTCTTGCTACCATCAGAACTCAAAAAACACTGGGGGAATTGACACCAAATTTGGACACATGACACCTAACAGTCCAATTTATGTCCTCCACTCAAAAAAATTGATTTTGTCATTTGGGAATTGTCGTTGCTGGGATTTATAGTTCACCTACAATCAAAGAGCATTCTGAACTCCACCAATGATGGAATTGGGCCAAACTTAGCACACAGGGCTCCCATGACCAACAGAAAAAAAACTGGAAAGGTTTGGTGGGCATTGACCTTGAGTTTGGGAATTATAGTTCACCCACATCGAGAGAGCACTGTGGACTCAAACAATGATGGATCTGGACCAAACTTGGCACGAATATTCCATATGCCCAAATATGAACACAGATGGAGTTTAAGGGAAATAGACCTTGACATTTGGGAGTTGTAGTTGCTGGGATTTATAGTTCACCTACAATCAAAGAGCATTCTGAACTCCACCAATGATGGAATTGGCCATAACTTAGCACACAGGGCTCCCATGACCAACAGAAAAAACTGGAAAGGTTTGGTGGACATTGACCTTGAGTTTGGGAATTATAGTTCACCCACATCCAGAGAGCACTGTGGACTCAAACAATGATGGATCTGGACCAAACTTGGCACGAATATTCCATATGCCCAAATTTGAACACAGATAGAGTTTGGGGGAAATAGACCTTGACATTTGGGAATTGTAGTTGCTGGGATTTATAGTTCACCTACAATCAAAGAGCATTCTGAACTCCACCAATGATGGAATTGGGCCAAACTTAGCACACAAGGGCTCCCATGACCAACAGAAAAAACTGGAAAGGTTTGGTGGACATTGACCTTGAGTTTGGGAATTATAGTTCACCCACATCGAGAGAGCACTGTGGACTCAAACAATGATGGATCTGGACCAAACTTGGCACGAATATTCCATATGCCCAAATATGAACACAGATGGAGTTTGAAGGAAATAGACCTTGACATTGGGAATTGTTGTTCCTGGGATTTATAGTTTACTACAATCAAAGAGCATTCTGAACTCCACCAATGATGGAATTGGGCCAAACTTAGCACACGGGGTTCCCATGACCAACAGAAAAAACTGGAAAGGTTTGGTGGACATTGAACTTGAGTTTGGGAATTATAGTTCACCCACATCGAGAGAGCACTGTGGACTCAAACAATGATGGATCTGGACCAAACTTGGCACGAATATTCCATATGCCCAAATATGAACACAGATCGAGTTTGGAGGAAATAGACCTTGACATTTGGGATTTGTAGTTACTGGGATTTATAGTTCACTACAATTAAAGAGCATTCTGAAACCCACAAACGACAGAAATGGGGCAAACTTCCCACACAGAACCCCCATGACCAACAGAAAATACTTAAGGCCATCCAGTCCAACTCCCTTCACCAGGACAAGAAAATGTAATCAAAACCCTCCTGACAAAGAGCCATCCAGCCATAGATATACAGTATATTCTGGCGTATAAGACTACTTTTTAACCCAAGAAAATCTTTTCAAAAGTCAGGGGTCGTCTTATACGCAGGTGTAGTCTTATGCATGGGAGTCGTCTTAACTCTATATTTTAACTGGAAAAGTTGGGGGTCGTCTTATACGCCCAGTCGTCTTATATGCCGGAATATACGGTAGATAGATATGATTCTCACACACAGAGAGAGATACAGTATCATAAATTTGAAATAGACCCTTAAAGAAGGACTATGATATGTTGCATATTCCAGAGTAGGCAAACCAGACACTCTCCACATCAACACTGACAAAGAAACAACAAGAAATACTGTTTACTCACAAGCATAAAGGAATTACATATATTAGAAACCAACACTTTCTCGTTACTTTATTTTCCAGATCACCAGACTGGGCCACAGCAATGCGTGGCAGGGGACAGCTAGTTGAGAGATAAAAAGTCTTAGTGGGTTCAGCAGTATTATGTCTTTAGACATGCTGCTTTTCGTAGTGGAATATGTCCCAAATCCCAGACCTCCCATGCAGCTGGGATATCAGCTATCCTTGGCAGGGCAATTATTTATCACCCTGCTCCTTTTAAATGAGAGATAATGCATTCAGTGCCCACAGTCTGAGCTAAAGTGGGTTCTTATAAAGCCTCGGCAGGTCACCGGGAGGTTAATGGAAGCCTTGGGCAATGCCAGAGGAAAAAGTCTTAAGCTGAGCCCCACTTACAAAGAACACTGGCTTCTCTTTTACACAGCTTCAGTGATAAATCCCCTCCTTGGTACCCAAACAGCTGCCTCTTCTGCCAAGATTGATTTCCCACCAGACAGAACATCACTGCTCTCTTGTGTTGTTGCTGATAAATCTTTCATGGATGGCCCTTGACATAAATAGACCCAGAGCAGGTTTCTGTTGCTTCTGCGTGACATCAAAAGTAGACACCCTTGGCAATATTCCTGAGGCTACTTCAAGGTTATGAGCTTGTTCTCTGAAGCACTGCCACATACATTTCAGAGATATGAAACAAACATCACCTGTTGGTTTGGAATTAATACTCAGGAAAAAGAAGAATTGGGCTGAGTCTTTTACCTCTTCTTTCAAAGCAGTAGTCTTGAGTTCTCTTAATAGTGATCTATTAGGTTTGTTTGTCCCCCCCCCCCAAAAAATGGTTCAAAACTAGTTTCAGATGTAGTTGTAGATGTAGATGTAGCTGGTGGTTCGATTCTAAAGTCAATCCCAATTTTCACAGAAAAAAATGATCAAAACTTTTCGAAACTTCCAAGTCTTCCGAATTCTTCCTTAATGGTTTAAAAGTGTTGTTTCCTGTCTCATTGGGTGGTCTTTACTTTGAAAGTAGTTGTTTTACTCCAGAAGCGGGGGGGGGGGGGGGGGGAGGAGAGCAAAGGGAGGAAATTCATCCACTCTGGTTTAAAATGCTTCCTAGGCTCCAGTCAGAAGCTAGGGGAGAGGAGAGGGAGGAAATTCATCCACTCTGCTTTAAAATGCTTCCCAGGCTCCAGACAGAAGCGAGGTGAGAGGAGAAGGAGGAAATTCATCCACTCTGTTTTAAAATGCTTCCCAGGCTCCAGACAGAAGCGAGGGAAGAGGAGAGGGAGGAAATTCATCCACTCTGGTTTAAAATGCTTCCCAGGCTCCAGACAGAAGCGAGGGAAGAGGAGAGGGAGGAAATTCATCCACTCTGGTTTAAAATGCTTCCCAGGCTCCAGACAGAAGCGAGGGAAGAGGAGAGGGAGGAAATTCATCCACTCTGTTTTAAATGCTTCCCAGGCTCCAGACAGAAGTGAGGGGAGAGGAGAGGGAGGAAATTCATCCACTCTGGTTTCAAACGGCTTCCCAGGCTCCAGACAGAAACGAGGGAAGAGGAGAGGGAGGAAATTCATCCATTCTGCTTTAAAATGCTTCCCAGGCACCAGACAGAAGTGAGGGGAGAGGAGAGGGAGGAAATTCATCCACTCTGGTTTCAAACGGCTTCCCAGGCTCCAGACAGAAACGAGGGAAGAGGAGAGGGGGGAAATTCATCCACTCTGCTTTAAAATGCTTCCCAGGCACCAGACAGAAGTGAGGGGAGAGGAGAGGGAGGAAATTCATCCACTCTGGTTTCAAACGGCTTCTCAGGCTCCAGACAGAAGCGAGGGAAGAGGAGAGGGAGGAAATTCATCCATTCTGCTTTAAATTGCTTCTCAGGCTCCAGACAGAAGCAAGGAGAGAGGAGAGAGAGGAAATTCATCCACTCTGCTTTAAAATGCTTCCCAGGCTCTAGACAGAAGTGAGGGAAGAGGAGAGGGAGGAAATTCATCCACTCTGTTTTAAAATGCTTCCCAGGCTCCAGACAGAAATGAGGGGAGAGGAGAGGGGGGAAATTCATCCACTCTGGTTTCAAACGGCTTCCCAGGCTTGAGCCGAGGCCAGGGACCAGAAGCGGGGAAATGCTTAATCATTTCCGACTCACTTACTGCTTTATAACAGAAATGGTAGAAAAAGCTTCGGAAGGACAAAGGGACTTTCAGTTTTCTTAAAAACTTTGAAATCACTTCAAAAAGCAATTTTTTTAGGTGAACGATAAATCCCAGCAACTACAACTCCCAAATGTCAAGGTCTATTTTCCTCATACTCCATCAGTGTTCACAATCAGTAACATATTGATTGGTGGCATCTGAGTAGGAAGGGAAGAAATGCCACTTGGTGCAATCTGCTTACAGCAGTGGTTCTCAACCTTCCCAATGCCGTGACCCCTTAATGCAGTTCCTCATGTCGTGGTGACCCACAACCAAAAATTATTTTCGTTGCTACTTCATAACTGTCATTTTGCTCCGGTTATGAATCATCATGGGAGCCCCCGGTTAAAGCACTGAGCTACTGAGCTTGTTGATCGAAAGGTCGCAGGTTCGATTCCGGGGAGCGGTGTGAGCTTCCGCTGTCAGCCCTAGCTTCTGCCAACCTAGCAGTTCGAAAACATGCAAATGTGAGTAGATCAATAGGTACCGCTCCGGCGGGAAGGTAATGGCGCTCCATGAAGTCATGCCAGCCACATGACCTTGGAGGTGTCTACGGACAACGCTAGCTCTTCGGCTTAGAAATGGAGATGAGCACCACACCCCAGAGTCAGACATGACTGGACTTAATGTCAGGGGACTACCTTTACCTTTATGAATCATCATGTAAATCTAAGTATCCATGCCAAGTTTGGTCCAGATCCATCATTGTTTGAGTTCAAAGTGCTCTCTGGATGTAGGTGAACTACAACTCCAAAACTCAAGGTCAGTGCCCACCAAACCCTCCCAGTATTTTCTGTAAGTCATGAGAGTTCTGTGTGTTAAGTTTCGTTCGATTCCATCTTTGTTGGAGTTCAGAATGCTCTGTGATTATAGGTGAACTATAAATCCCAGCAACTACAATTCCCAAATAAAAAAATCAATTCCCCCACCCCACCAGTATTGTGCCAAATTTGGTCCAGTGAATGAAAATACATTCTGCATATCAGAGATTTACATGATGATTCATAACCGGAGCAAAATGACAGTTATGAAGTAGCAACTAAAATAATTTTATGATTGTGGGTCACCACGACATGAGGAACTGCATTAAGGGGTCACGGCATTGGGAAGGTTGAGAACCACTGCTGTAAGCAGATTGCACCAAGTGGCATTTCTTCCCTTCCTACCCAGACGCCATCAATCAATATGTTACTGAATGAGCTTCATTGTGCTTTCACTTGACTGGGAGTCTTGCATGGAGCTGGATGCTTCACCAGCATTCAGTATGATCTCAGTCTGAGTCAACACTGAATGCTGCATTGGGTTAGCATTAATGATGTGATTTTCTCCCCCCACCTCACAGAGAAATCTTCACAGTCTCCGAATCTTCTGCAAACCACAGCACTACTGTCTGCAAAGGGAGAAAGAAGACCATCCCAGGGCGCGAAGTCCCCTTGCATCAAGCCAACTCAGAAATGTGCAAAATCTTGCTTTCAGGGACAATGAAACAATAAAGGCTGCAAGCATGTGTCATCAGTTTGGACTTGCGCTTCCTCTTTTCCCACCTCTGATTAACCTCAACCAAAGTTTAAAGTGAATGATTCACTCCTTCCCCCCCCCCCCATTTTTTATAGACGTTAGCTAGAATCCTGTAGGGATTCGTAAGTGGATTTATATATGCAAGAATTAGAARTGTGAAATTGTATAACATCTTGTAATCAGTAGAAAGCTGCTCTCACATATATCTTAATTAACATATAAGTTCAATTTAACATGGAAAGTCTGCTACATAGGAGGGGGGGGGGGACTCTCCTTATCTTAACATCTCCAGTTACTACCGTACTTTGTTGCCTGGGGATCACAACCAGGGGATCACAACCAGACATCTGCCCTTGCGCTATGCTACTCTGTTGCTGAGTACGCATGCCCAGTGTGGAAACACATCTCACCACACTAAAACAGTGGATGTGGCTCTTAATGAGACATGCCGCATTATCACGTGTCTGCACCCTACACCACTGGAGAAATTACACTGCTTAGCCGGTATTGCACCACCTGACATCCGCCGGGAAGTAGCAGCCAATAGTGAAAGGACCAAGGCAGAGACATCTCCAGCTCATCCTTGTTTGGGTATCAGCCAGCATGTCAATGACTTAAATCTAGAAATAGTTTTCTAAGATCTACAGAGACACTCGCTGGAACACCTCAGCAAGCGAGAGTCCAAAAGTGGCAGGCTCAAACCCAGAACCTCAACCAATGGCTGATACCAAATGAGAGACTCCCCCTGGGCACACAGAAGACTGGGCAACTTGGAAGGCTGAACAGACTGCGCTCTGGCACCACGGGATGCAGAGCCAACCTCAAGAAATGGGGCTACAAAGTGGAATCCATGACATGCGAGTGTGTCTGACCACCTGCTGTAATGCACCCTGAGCCCTGCCACATGCACAACGGAGGCCCTTCTTGCAGCAAGTTCCTGAACAGACTCAGAAGCAGAGTGGGCAGATCAAAAGACAACCTGGCAAAATGACACTACCTAAAAGAATCCCATACCTTGTGTGACTACGGAAAAAAACATACAACTCTGCATCTGTATGCTTGTTCACTATGCCCTGCCTCATGTACAGAGGAAGAATTGTTGGAGGCTACAGGCAACAAGCCCCATGCGATGTGTGGGGCTTGAAGAATGCAAGGCTGGGGTGAAATTGCTGGAAGAAACATTAACAACCTTAAATATGCAGATGACACCACTTTGATGGCCAAAAGCGAGGAGGAGCTGAGGAGCCTTCTAATCAAGGTGAAAGAAGAAAGCGCAAAATCTGGGTTGCAGTTAAACATAAAAAAAAACAATATTATGGCAACAAGAATGATTGACAACTGGGAAATAGAGGGAGAAAATGTGGAGGCAATGACAGACTCTGTATTTCTAGGTGCAAAGATTACTGCAGACGCAGACTGCAGCCAGGAAATCAGGAGACACTTACTTCTTGGGAGGAGAGGAATGGCAAATCATGATAAAATAGTGAAGAGTAGAGACATCACACTGGCAACAGAGATCCGCATAGTCAAAGCAATGGTATTCCCCATAGTAACCTACGGATGTGAGAGTTGGACCATAGGGAAGGCTGAGTGAAGGAAGATAGATGTTTTTGAACTGTGGTGCTGGAGGAAAGTTCTGAGAGTGCCTTGGACAGCGAGAAGATCCAACCAGTCCATACTTCAAGAAATAAAGCCTGACTGCTCATTGGAGGGAAGGATACTAGAGACAAAGTTGAAGTACTTTGGCCACATAATGAGAAGACAAGAAAGCTTACAGAAGACAATGATGATGGGGAAAATGGAAGGAAAAAGGAAGAGGGGCCGACCAAGGGCAAGATGGATGGTGTCCTTTAAGTGACTGGATTGACCTTGAAGGAGCTGGGGGTGGTGACGAAAGACAGGGAGCTCTGGCATGGACTGGTCCATGAAGTCACAAAGAGTCGGAAACGACTGAACGAATGAACAACAAACAGGCAAACAGTTTTATACTAATTTCTGCAATGCTTTCGATACAAAATAAATAAATAAATAGCCAAGTAATGTTTGAAGAAGGTTGGAATAAAATCTTTATATTACACCACTTATTCTCTTTTTTGGACTTTCTGTTGCCCACCCAATTGACAAATAAATGGCTATGGTTGCAGTCTGTCACCAATCAGATCAATGGGGGATTTGCTGCTGATTGTGGTGGAGTACAGACTGCTCCCTCTTGTATGAATTTCCACTGAAAGAACACTTCCATTGCTTTTCCATTCCAAAAGAAACTGACATTCAGACCTTTCCAAATAACTGACATTTCACATACAAAGATCATCAGTGACCTCTAGTGATTACAAAGTGCATGAAGCTCAAATAACTTTCTATTAATAGTATAGTCCTGAACTGTGTTTGCTCACTTCTGTCTGTACAAAAGTCAAAGTCCTGTTAAGGCAAGTACGACTGAGTCCACAATGTGAACTTTGGTTTACACTTTTATGTGTCAAACTGTGCTTGAGGTGGAAAATCTGTGACTGATCAACTAACGTATGTGTCTGTGTGTTCCCTGAAATGTGATCATGCCAAGTGGCCTTCCAGGTTCTTGAGATCAGCAGCAGAAAGAAGAGAGGACTTAAACCAGGTGACATGTTGAGCAAGAGCTCCTATAATCCCTGACCATTTTGGCCATGTTGAGTGTGGATGATGGAAATGCTATGCCAAACTTACTTTACTTAGGTGATCCCTCATAGTCTGAGGATGATGGTCCTCCAAGTGTGGGTCCGTAGGTGATTGTGGAGACCTATTCTTGATCTGCATCTTCTCCCACAGTGAGGACATAGGTTTCCAGTTGGAAGGCGGTCCCAGTTGGGGTTGGCTTGATGCGCCTTCGTCTTGGCATGTTTCTCTCTTTCACCCTCCATTTGTGCCTCTTCAAACTGTACAGCACTGCTGGTCACAGCTGACTGCCAACTGGAGCGCTCAAGGGCCAGGGCTTCCCAATTCTCAGTGTCTATGCCAAAGTTTTTAAGGTTGGCTTTGAGCCCATCTTTAAATCTCTTTTCCTGCCCACCAACATTCCGTTTTCTGTTCTTGAGTTCAGAGTAGAGCAACTGCTTTGGAAGATGGTGGTCGGGCATCCGGACAACATGGCCAGTCCACCGGAGTTGATGGCGGATGACCATCGCTTCAATGCTGGTGGTCTTTGCTTCTTCCAGCATGCTGACATTTGTCCGCCTGTCTTCCCAAGAGATTTGCAGGATTTTCTGGAGGCAGCGCTGATGGAATCGTTCCACGTCTGTAGATTGTCCACGCCTCACAGGTGTATAGCAGGGTTGGGAGGACAATAACTTTATAAACAAGCACCTTGGTATCCCTACGGATGTCCCGGTCCTCAAACACTCAAACACTTCATTCAGAAAAATGCTGCGCTTGCAGAGCTCAGGCGGTGTTGAATTTCAGTGTCAATGTTGACTTTTGTGGAGAGGTGGTAGCGGAAATGGTCAACATTTTATAATGTTGACCATTTATCCAAAATATCCAAAGGGCTCAACTAGTTCCAGTTCAACCCAATTCAACACCACACTGCATTATGTATCAGCATGGGTATTTCAACTCTGCAGGGGAAATCATATGGATGCTTGTTGTGACTTGTCGGTGATTTTTATGCATTTATCCTGTACTAGCCATCCCCTGCCACGCGTTGCTGTGGCCCAGTCTGATGATCTGGAAAATAAAGTGTTGGTTTGTAATATATGTAATGTCTTTCTGCTTGTGGGTAAACAGTATTTCTTGTTTTTTCTTTGTCAGTGTTGATGTGGAGAGTGTCTGGTTGGCCTACTCTGGAACATGCAACATATCATTGTCCTTCTTTAGGATCCCTTTCAAATCTATGATACTTTATCTGTGTGTGTGTGAATCTTATCTATCTCTATGGCTGGATGGCTCTTTGTCAGGAGGGTTTTGATTATGTTTTCTTGCCCTGGTGAAGGGAGTTGGACTGGATGGCCTTAAGTATTTTCTGTTGGTCATGGGGGTTCTGTGTGGGAAGTTTGCCCCAATTCTGTCATTTGTGGGGTTCAGAATGCTCTTTGATTGTAGGTGAACTATAAATCCCAGTAACTACAACTCCCAAATGTCAAGGTCTATTTCCCCCAAACTCCATCTGTGTTCATATTTGGGCATATGGAATATTTGTGTCAAGTTTGGTCCAGATCCATCATTGTTTGAGTCCACAGTGCTCTCTGGATGTAAGTGAATGACAACTCCCAAACTCAAGGTCAATGCCCACCAAACCCTTCCAGTGTGTTCTGTTCGTCATGGAAGTCCTGTATCCCAAGTTTGGTTCAATTCCATCATTGATGGTGTTCAGAATGCTCTTTGTAGGTGAACTATAAATCCCAGCAACTTCAACTCCCAAATGACAAAATCAACCTTTGAGTGAAGGACGTACATTAGGTTGTTAGGTGTATGCTGTCCAAATTTGGTGTCAGTTCCCCCAATGGTTTTTGAGTTCTGTTAATCCCACAAACGAACATTACATTTTGATTTATATAGATGAGTGGATCAGTTAAAGAATTTTTCCTGCTAAGCTTTGAGAAATAGGGATTGTTTGGAGAGCAGCTTTGTGCAAAGCGGTATTTCATGTAGGCATTTAAAGCAAGCCATTCTCTATTGTGAAAAACGTAAAATGATACCCCAAAAGGCAATTAATTAAGTCCATGTACATATATATTGAAAGAATGAACAGGATAAAAGGCCTTGGAGGGGAAGTTATGGTCGTTCAACATCCTCGAGGAAATTGTGCTCTAAAAACCAACAAATCATCCAATCACTCTTGAGTTCCAGTATATTATTTATGTGATTATTTACTAAGATCTTTATCCAGAAACTGCATTTACTTAGACAAGAAACAGTCAAGCAGAAGCCACTGCTAGTGATTTTTTTCTCCTCTTTTGAAGGGAAGTTTTTAAAAAAATTAGCTATGACATGATTTGTATAAAATGACTTCTAGGTATAAAACA